TAAATGTTGCAATAGAATCTCCACAGAAGTATCTCCCCTGAATTCTAGATGCAAAAATAGGGGCTTTTACTCCACTGTTGCTAATTCATGCTAACGATTGTTGTAACTTATGCTGGCTTTAATAAACTTCTCTGGATATCCGTCCTCGCTTAGAATATCCCGGATGACCTGGAGTTCTTTATTTACGCAATCTTCGAAGCAAATCGACCTTCTGTAAATGCTAGGCACCTGGTCAGATTACGTCTATACTTCAGAGGTAAGAAGCTAAGGAAGTTTATATACTGAGTTTTGGTCTCTAGCTTTCGAAATATGGTTCTTTTGATAGAACCGTCCTCTCTTCTGGTTAGTAGGATGTCGAGGAAGTGCAGAGAATCGTTGTATTCAACTTCGTAGGTAAACTGACCGGAATAGGAAAGGTGAGACAGACTTTCATTACTGTGAAATTAGTTTGAAAATCTTCTGAACTCAGTGTAAAGAACGAAATTTGGAATTTCAAGACCAGTGTTAAGTCAGTTCTTCTATGTGGCTCAGAAACTTGGCGCATCACGAAGAGCATTTCCAACAGGCCACGGCAAACTTTTATCAACATCTGCCTTTGCTCCATACTGAAGACCAGATGACCAGAAACAAGAAGCTATGGGAACAAATCAACAAATGTCCTTCAGCAAATGAAGGTGGATAATCAGACACACACTGAGGAGACCATCGAATGACATAGAACAGGAGGCCATCAAGTGGAACTGGAATGGGAAAAGACGAATTGGGCGTCCAAGGGTGACATGGAGAAGATTGTGAGGGAAGGAGACGAGAATATATGGACATTCGTGGGACTAACTAAAAAGGACTGCAGAGAATAGGACAAATCAGGAGATGTTCTGTTGAAGTGCTATGTTCCACTCGAGACTCAAGAGGACAATAATGATAATGTTCATTGCTGAGACCAGTGAAAAGCCTGAACAACATTTGGACTATTTTGTTGTGGATAGTGTAATTAATTGGTTGGCATCAGTGATCAGTATGTACTCCAGTTTTTCCACGTGTTTGCTATAAGTTTTAAATGCCTCAATTGTACTAACAATGTCATTACCAATATAATAATACAAAGTGCACATTTGTAAACTTGCCTAGTAGAGTCATTTCATTATAACTTTGAAAATACTTAACTTGTGTAACAACAGAAGGCAAGACAGGGAAGCCAAGGTATATTTTCAAGTGATCAAACCTATATATATATATAGTTTTATATTCATTAACAAATCACTGAGCGTGTGATTTCGACTTACACTAAACGACATAAAATAGAATGTTCAAATATACATAGCAGTCTGTTGCTAACGCAGTATTGAACTGTGGGAATATGTGAGAATCATATTCCGTTGGAACACATTGTCTGTATCACCTTACAACACCTGGGTTCTCAAATATGGAGAAGCCTACTTTGAAGTGATGGAGATTTGAAGCTCAGGCTGACATATTTAGTGTTGTTATGTTCCTTGAGCTGTATCAATGATTCGCGCGACTTTAATTGTCCTTCAAAACAAGTTCTTCAACGCCAACTTCACGTAAATTTAACTTTTGAAACTCTACATAAATAAAACAACCATCTTTCTTGCTTATCTCGACTGTGATTGGTCGCTTCTAGAGATTTTCTTTTGATTATTTTCACGTAAATGTGAGTCAGTGGCTTAAGGGTAGAATGCTCACCAACTATGCAGTTGGTCCACGATTCGACTCCTTGCCGGCGCACATATTTACTTCCCTTAGCCGGTTTAAGCCCAATCAACCGCAAGGTTAGGTATGAGACTAGCAACCCCACTCCGTAAAAAGAATACCACTACTACTGAAGCATCAAAATCCAAGCTTGAGGCCCTAAGTTCCACCCGGAACGCAAAGGAATAAAATAAACAAGCGAAAAATGTTCACGTGTATCAGTATTAATTGTTTTATTTTGACCTTTTAACCACTTAAACTGTCCCTTAATAAGTGACAAATCTGCTCGAAATGAACATGTCTGTTAATTGCTAACCATTGTGAATATCAGGCTTATAGGCATCCGTTATCATTCTTATTGTTTCCTCCATTTAAATTTGCTACATATCTTCCAGTCGCATACGTATCCGTAATTGCTACCTAGTGTTTTATTTCACGTATTCTTGGGTCGAAATCGAAGAAGTTACAAACACACAGGAAATACTAAAAATGCCACAGAATTCCCTGCAGTCTGGTTGTAAGGCTATTCAGATCGACAAACACGCATCTATGAAGCAGATATATCAATCGACAAATAATAACGATAACCTTATTCTGAACAGCACACTCGTCTACAGTACAATATCTTCGGAGCATTATATTCACTTCTTGCAAAAGAATCGTCTAGTCAAATAATCCACAGTATATCGTTCAGTGCAATATCATTCAGTATGAAGGCATGCTCCAAATATTTATGACTTTGTTCCTACAAAAATGTATAGCAGTGTATTGGAAGTTATTTGAATATGCGCATGCGATTTAAGAATGTAACTGAATATTTGAATCAATGTAAAATGGGGTAAATTTTATGCGTTATGTTATAGTCTCTAAATATTCACACAAATACCACTTACTAGTGACGAACGCTTGAGAATTTCCCAGTAAGAATTAAGAGTGTGAGATATTCCCATATCATGGATTAAAAGTCAGTTAGAAAGAAGAATGATCTTTTCAATAAATTCTCTTTAGGTTCTTACAGTTATAAAATAAAAGATTAATCATTACAATAATATCCAGTTACATGGCGGATACATTTTGATGTAGCATAACAATCCAGTACTCCAAGGTTTTCCAGTGGTTTTCTAGTTGGAGTCAAATCGTGATCAAACTTGTAACCACTCAAATCCCTGCAAACCAACACTTGAAAATACTATTTTGCACTAGTCATTTGGCAGACACGTTTTACAGCCTTGAACTGACTTATCAATTTATTCTTCCCTACATTATATGAATCTATTATGACTAATCGCCATTATCGTCTCGCATGTCACAGTTTTTTGTAATTGTATTAAGCCCAGCACTTGTGTGTATTTTTATTGATCAAAAAATTATCAACCACATGACTGGTTATCATTCTACAGATGAATAGTACATTTATGAAAAGACTCATCTTGGTTCAGACCGACCTCTAATTTCCCAGTAGATTTCTCAACGAAGCGAGATAATAATAACGATGGTAATAAGTTATGATTCATGGGCCAGTGAATTCCGTCCGTGTGACTGAATAGTCATCGAGCTTGCCATGTAACCTGAAAGTCCTTGATTCAATCCCACTGTGGAGGCATGAGTCCCTACTAATGAAGGGTCCAGAACGAGAACAAAACAGCTACCTAATATTTCCTTTCCTTCTATGGTTCTTTAAGTAACACTAACCTGTGGTCAAACTTGAAGAAAACAAATCCTAAGAAACTAACACTTAAAAAAATAATAATATTCCAAAAGTATTCTAGCAAATAATCGTGCAGCAATGTAGGTCGAGTAGTCGACATCTCTCTGATTGATTATTTGTCCGACTAGCCGATAAATATAGTCGACATTTTATATAATTTGAATCTTGAATGATAGACTCTCAAGCTAGTTTATAACTACATATAACAATTGCATAAACCTAATGATTTAGACAGACCATTCTGCTGAAAGGTCAAATAACAGGTCAACGAAAATATCAATATTAATGCAAGTGAATATAATAAGGAGACGATCAATCACAGTTCGGGTCATTAAGAAAGATGATTATTTCATTCATGTAACATGCCGAACATTCCCAGGTTTTTCAGTGGTTTACTAACTGATGTCAGCTAATGATGAAATCCTTCAACCAACCAAACTAAATCCCTACAAAAACCAACACTTGAAAATTTATCTGATGCTCACTAGCGACTGGCCCTATTCAGGCAGTGACCTTGCGGTTCTACTGGGAAGCAGTGACGAGTAGATTGCAGTAGGCTGAAGGTAAGGCAGTAACTCATCGAAGAAGACACTGCGAAGTGGTCATGCTATGTCATGAATTGGCAGAGATTAGAATTCATAGGCTAAAAAGGACAATCAAAGTCTTACAGTTCAATGATCCAGCTCAAAATACAACATAAAACTCCACGAAATTATGAGGATTAATGTGCGTTGACTAGCATATGACTTTTCATCAAAGAAAACAATAACTGTCGTTCTAATTCAGATAGCTGGACACCTTCAAGCTGATAAATAACTACAATTTTCTATTAACAATATTAACCTATTCATATTATATCTTAACGTATAAAGTCCTGTACTGGTTTGTTTTATATTGATGTATGCTGTTCAGCTGAAATTCGCAAAAACAACCGAGACCAATGATTGGCAACTCTACATAGCATCATTCATAAACTATCGAAATACAACAGATAATTAAGTGATATGTGATAAAGCTGATGTTAATATTAATCTCTCTCGAAACGCTATTTAGAAATCACATCCGTATCCATAGTATCCCTCTGTGAATAAATTGAAGATTATTTTGATTTGACACTAGTAACTAGTATGATGTGTCTAGTCCTTTCTTCGCTGCACACTGAATTCTATCAGTCAATCTTGCAATGTGGCCACTATGATAGGTGGCTCGCCATCACGTTGCACATTGATTTGATGATGTTAGATGGTTGGAGGTTGTCGGCAGGAAGCCTTGGACCACCTAGGTTTCGTGCTAGCTGGCACTCGTCACCAAGGCGTATCTGCAATCTTGAAGGAACTCATTTCCCTTCTGAGATTCGAACCCGCGTCACCCAGTGCTGTAGCCAGAAACGTTACCACTGAGGTATTCGGGCTCCCAATTGACCTCCTGTAGGACTGTAGTGGGTATTTTGAGTTGACTACAGATACGCCTTGGTGACGAGTGTCAACTAGCACGAAACCTAGGTTCAAGGCGTCCTGGCGATTACCTCCAACCATCTAAGATTGAAGATTCAATAACAAAGCAGATAGAAGAAATGGTTCTAGGAGTATAAAGTGTTTTTTTTATCAATGAAAAAAGTTTTAACACATTTTTTTCACTTTATGTACATATTCACAACTGCTGCTGCTAGGATGATAAGATCTATAAGAGAACCAAAGGATTAAGGCAATACATTCAAGACTAAGCACAGTTAACTGTACAATACGATATAATGATATAGCCAAGTTGAAAATACTGAATAATAAACATACAGCAATAATTTTACAAGAGAATATAAAAAAGTAATAGATTTGTTTAACATTATTATCATTATTGATATTACTATTATTACTGTTGTTACCATTATTATTATTATTACTGTCATTAGTAATGGTGTCAACTGCAGTGTTTTTCTTACGTATACACACTAAAGATGACGATAGGGACCACCGAAACGATGGCGATGTTGACGAGGATGAGTGAACACGAACTAAGTCAAATTGTAATAACCATATCGATGTACACAGCAGGATAAGAGTACTTGGTATCAAACGACTGGAATGCATCATAAGTGTATAGCTGTATAAAACACCAGATAAACTGAAATAAAATTATAAAAAAATAACAACATAAGTTGTATTGTTAGCACAAGTGAAATTCAACCCTTCAGTCACTTCTCAAATGGCTGAAGAGAAATACTTGACAAAAATTCTACTCAAGAAATGCAGATACCTCAGTATCCACCAAACTTTGAAAATGCAAAAACGATAAAATTAAACCATCCGTTGTCGTTTGAGTTGTCATAGGTGGACTTCGAAATTTCTATTGACTTGGATCTATGATATGTTGGAGGACTAAGTAGTTGGGTGCCTACAAAGGTGATAATGTTTTACAAACAACTCGCTTCAACTTTATACCTACTTTTTCAGTCTTCTAATTAAGAAATGTAGTAGCACAACTTGGTTCACTGAGAAAACTAACTCAATATACTAGAGTATATACGGATAAATTTAACTGAACTTTTTAGATTTTCCCGTTGATCTATTGGACCGAAGTGCTCGGTCTCAGGTTGACATGTCGGCTTCTTGTGCAGATGCTTCGACGATGTCTGGGCATTTAGTTAGTATTTAATTGATGGATGGTGACTAGCAGTGGAATCCAGGATGCGCATTTCGTCCTATTTCGGACTCGTCGGCTGGATGTAAATTAATATGACCTGTTGCACAAGAGGTGGCTCTGGGATAACCAGATGAGATAAAAATGCTTTCGGGACTGATATTTTGCCCTAGTTCGTGACTATTCAGGAGTGCAGGCTCACGATATCAAGAAGACATTCAGTGAAGGGTAGTTAGATTACAAAACGAACAAATTAAAATTAAAATAGTTTGTGGTTTTCAACTTCTTTCAATTCACCAAACAACGCCATCTCAATTCGATATAATCGATGAATAACTATCTTCCAACACCGCCTGAGGGAACTCAAATGTTACAACTCACCACATACAGACCTATTCACTAAAAAATATGTCACGCCGATTGTATCAAGCCTGTAACCTTATATGGCTGCTTAAATCTCCGCAAACAGAAGATTTAAAAACTATAAACATATAGTCAAAGTAATTACTTAATACAATGGATTAAACATAAAACAAAGTCTCTTTGTGTAAGTATTAGCCAATCGCATTATATCACTATTCATTACACCTGAGTCCCCAAAATAGTTTACATTCAATCCAGAGCACAGTCCACAGACGCTGTAACAATGCCCAGTGAAACAAGCAGTGTAGTTAGAAAAACAATTATCAATCTGACAGACATTTATTTTCAGTATGGTTGACTGCATACTTTGGATCAAACTCTTTGGCATGAAAAGTGGTTTGCCTCCGTGCATACACAAGTACGATTACAGGCATAAGGATAATATTCATAGACTATACAAGAGCGTCTCAAATATCAGAAGAGGAGCAATGCTTTATTTAGCCATTTATCATAGATTAACTCCACATACATTACCAAGTACAATTAATTTTAAAAGTATAAGAACTACAAGACAAATGCTTTCTCAATTTTACAAAACTTTTAATTAAACTTCCACATACACGTACACACACACACACACACAACAACAACCAAGCAGATACGAACAACAAACAGATACATCAAAATGTAATGCGATTATGCATAAAAACAGCAAAAACAATATTTCCCAATGAACTAACCTGAAATACGACTCTTTAATACGCACAACAAATGATATCCAATCATCTAACATTAGTAAGCTAATGAGAACGAGTAAAATAAATGTCCGCCATTTCAATAAATAAAACAATATGGCATAATTTTTTCGTTTAAACTCTACTGACGAAGGTGTCCCTTTTAATTTCTTAATATTAGAATAAGAATGATCAGTATTTGCATGATGACTAGCCGACTTTTGCTTCTCTTCATCTGTACAGACAATATTTCCTTGTACATTCATAAAATGACAACTGCTGAAGAATTTGACTGCTTCACTATTGATATGATTTTGTCGGCAAAATGAACAATTCTAACAAAATAAATCAAAAACAACAGAAATTACACAAAATACACAAAGTAGGGATCGTATTCGAATATAAAATGAATAATATCTACGGTCTTTTTTCTCACTAAAATAGTATACTACTGATGGATGATAGAAGTAATATTTACACAACGTACAAAATTTGTCGACAAATATTTGCTATTCAGATGAAAGTTTTAGTATCAAGCGTTGATTTACAGGAATTTGATTGTCTACTACTTTGATGACGATCTGACATCAGTTAGGGAAACGTGAGAAAACCAGGGAGTGCTGCACAGCTGTCTAACCCTAATCCGTGACTGTTCCCCAGTACGGACCTTCCGGTTGCTGAGTGGTCTACGAGTTCGCCTTGTAGCCGAAAAGTCCCGGGTCTGAACCCCAGCAGGTGAATGACTCTGAAGAGTGCCAAACTAGGAAGTGATAGCTGTTCAATACTACCCAATTTTCCAAAGGTTCGCTAAATGATGGTCAGCTCGTGATCAAACCTGAAAGTTACTAATAGACTAAGTTAGGTGACTAAGCAAAAGCTCCTAGTGGAATATCTTTGTGTTTATCAATCAATCAATCACTTTCTCTGATAAAAAGCTTTATTTTTCGTCTTGTATTGCTGAACATATGCTCTAAACTGATATCTCCCCTACTGACTGTTCCAGTTGTACTACGTTTAATGTTACTGAAGTCAAAGTTTATACCCACACTGTTTTCTTCCCCAGGGGTAACAGTGATAAATACAGATGGATGATTTATCATGACATACACTGTGAAAGTGATTTTATATTTCAATGACAATATGTCTCGAATTTTAATACTAATTTCCATTTTTCAAACGATTACTAAATAAATCAACGAGAATCCACTAACATAAGGATAGAAATTTGATCAGTGTAGTAGGACATAACTCCGTATTAGATAACTTTATTTGATATAACTCACATTGATACAGTAATAATAACTGGATGACATTTCGAGTACAATTTATTACTTATAATCACATCATTGTAAGTGTTCATAAAACTTCCCAACTTACATAGTAAAATTTTACTACGTCATCTTGTTTAATGCTGTCTTCCGTTTATCCAGGATCAGTATTGTGTCGTTCCTATTACATGTAATAACCGAGCAAAGCTTCGGTGATTAACCAGCCATGTTGCTATTTAATACTTCTATCCTATTCAACCCTATTGACTGTTTATACACACACGAATGACTCAGATTTTTCAGATTATTTAGGCAAGATCCATCTCAAAGTTTTGATAACCAAATGATCTATATGTTAAACCTTAGAGTAAGTAAATAGTGTTTCAGGATTTCATCATGAACTGACACCGGTTAAAGGATAACTGGAAAACCTGGGAGTACTGAAAAGTCGTTTCGTCCTAATTTCGGACCCCTAGGTTTCGAACTCAGGAGCTTCCGGTTACAAGGCGAGCTCGAAGACCATTAAGCCACTGAGACCCGATCCAAAGGCCTGTCCATGAACTCCAAATTCTGTCAATTCACGATATAATGCGACCACCAGCCAATGTCATTGACCGATATTTGTCCTCACAATCAACCTGCTGCACCCCACTGGCTAGTCGGATTAGATTGTCTGATTGTGTTACTAATATCGTTAAACTGAAATGGTCTATCTCTGAATGAATACATAAGTTAAGAATGATTCCACGTACGCGCCTAGATGTCCCATCCCCATATGAAAGCACTAAGGTAACTGTTTATCCATTATCAGTCATATTCTGATCATAATTAAATATGCATAGGAGAAGTGAGAGTAATGACGCAAATGAAAAAGACTGATAATAAGTTTATTAGGCAGTTGTTACAGTAGTAAACAACAACTGAAGTTACTAAGCAACGACGAAAACATTCTGATAAGTATATCTCCCTTACAATACTGAAAAACAGCAGCAGTAGTTTCATATAATCTAAATGTCATTCAAATGATTTACTAGCGCTAAAAATATCCCTAGTCACTTTAAAACATACTTTTTAGGGAAAAGAATATTTGCCTTAGAAGAAAAGATAGTCTATATATATATATATATATATATATATATATATATATATATGGAATCTGATATCTACATAAAGGAAGGTTATATACACTTTATATGAAAATCGTCAGTTGCACAGATCTTCTGTGCTGTACTACTTCTACCCTTCGTATTGTGTTCCTTCCCGGCCGATAACTGCTCCCTTGTCGTGGTGGTCGGGCTTGAATACCGTAATGACCCAACATGCTAAACTGACCGGGACTCTGTCCCTGCAGGTCCTACCGTGTCAGGAAGGTTGTTTGGATAGCCCATGGGGTACATGGGCTTCAGTACCCAATCGGATCAAATGGCGTATGAACCCATATGGGTCACCGAAAACTATGGGAATGCAGCTCCTGACGCTGCTCTGCTGCCTTGCGGATTAGACTCCAAGTCAAAGGCCTGGGGGGTGGTCCCTTAATAAAACCACCTGCTTCGGTCTGGGCGCCCGGGTAGTATCTCAGCCATCACAAAATGAATTGAATGAAGCAACGAACAATCAAGGAAACTTATCGCATGCTATAACACGTATTGCAATTTACTTCTTTCTTCCCTTCCCAATGATGGTTAACGAATACTGTTTGAACTTGCTAAGCATGACTGTTTTCCTTCCAGATGAAGTTCTTTATCCGTTCTCTACTTATGTATATATATATATTCCTCTCCTTTCTTCTTTTTTTGATCTATGTTGTTTTATTATTATTGTGTGGCACATCCTTCTTGGTCCCATATTGTACCAAGTTTTTATGTGTTTAAATAAATAAACAATAAATAATTGTGCTCCTTTGTCATCTTTTCATGTCTCCCGTGTTTTTTTCGTAATACTGGTTCATTTCCCCTCTTTGACGTCAAATCCCTCTCTGAGCCATTTCATATCTTTGTGCTGATGAACGTCTCTTCATATACTACTGACAAATATTGTAGGTAGCACTTGCCACAATACTATCTGTGATTGACCTGATATGGAGAAAGAATATGTGTAGCGACAGAAAGTGAATAAACCGCTTTCAAATTTACCGATCTGTTCCTCTAATAAGCGGGCCATTTAACATAAGATCACTGATCAGGTTTCAAGACAATTACATTCACCACATGAGTGACAGGCATATAACTTTCTTTATTACCACTTACCTACCTGACCAGGTGCGCAGACAGGTCTTCGCGTGATATTATCAACATTTCTGACGGACAGACTGTTACGTGTTAGTCAGGCTATCTCTTACACTTCAATTTCACAAAACTGATCTGATTGTAATGGATTAGGAAATAAATTTAGAACGACAACCTAGGTCTACGGAACTTTCAAACTGTTGGTTTCGCATTAAAACTGACTATGCTTTAAGAATGATGCGAATGTTTAAGGAAACCTGTCCTGATGTTTATGCATTTCACTATGTACTCACTCCATCTGTACAATTTCCAAGGTATTCTTTTCGTTATAGCAATTAAATCCCAAGAGTCGAATGTTTAGTTTCTAAAGATATTGTATGTAAGCGGGATCTTTTATCACTACAACCATAAGTAATAAATTATTTTTCTGATAGACTAAACTATTCATTACGCCTAACAGCCTGTATTCAAGAGCTGTCTTTGCTCCATACTGATGACCATATGGACAGAACTGTGGCAACAAATTAACCTAATAAATATGCAAAAGAAAAGGAGATGGACTGGTCATACTCTGAAAATACTACTGGATGGCATCACACGCCAGAGAAAACAACCTAAACGTCCAACGGTGACACTGAAGAGTTCAAGTCGGGAGAAAATGAAAACTTATGAGCAATCATGCAGCCAGCTAAATAGGAATGCAGAGAATAGAGTGAAGCTCCTGAAGCCATTTGTTCGATTCAGAGCTCAATGGAATAATAATAATAATAATAATAATAATAATAATAATAATAATAATGAAAAAACAACTAAACACAACAACACAAGGATGAATCTAGACTTACATTGATTAACAGTAGTAAACTTAACAAAAGAACAGCTAATGATTCACAAATTATCCAACCAATTAACAAGATGCAAAGCATTGTCATGATCATTAGTAAAGTTGGAGAAGATGATACACTAAGGAAAAAAATGAAGGAACGGGAAAAGGAACATTAGTAACACTTTACACATTTATGATTTCAAGTTTAAAAAATGTAAACAGCCATTGGATTCGAACCTTGTAGGGAATATCAGTCCCTTCAAGGTTAAAGATATGCCAACTTGTTGATGAATACCAATAAGGCATGAAAATGACATACAGTAGGACTTCTTATAACACTATGCAAAAGTGAATCATATTGGATAAGAGTACCACGCCACATCACGTCATCTCACGCATACAGACACACATTTGTGCGACAGGTTTCGATCAGAGCCGAACATTTCACAGTATCACTTATAATAGGCACTTTCATCTTTTTCCAATAAAAACATATCATCATCACGTATAATAACCAAAAATTGACTTTTTTCAAAGTATCTTACGTTTTATCATTCCGCTTTTCTGAGTAATTTCGATTAATCATTTGAGAGAGAAACAAGAAAAATCCATCAAGAAGATAATTACCCACAGGAATAAGAAAAGCCCAAGGAATGGAAATAATTAGGAAGGGGAGATGAGCTAGAATTAGTTCAATGTATGGGAAGTGGACAACAGCTGCGGGTGTTTGAAGTGTATTTACCAGACGTAAACCAAGTTGACCAGATTGTTGTAATTCAATCCATTCAGAAAATCTAAAAGAAATGAAAGAAAATTCTCATTGGTTTATACGTAATGATATGGACACTTTCTGATCATAACATGCAAATCACAAAATCACGTTGTTTCAGTGCTTCATGTTGGTAACCTATTTGTTGCCAGTACAAATAACTCACTCTTTTCTCATAACAACTCAAACAACTCAAATCAATAACTTGGACACTGGTAGTATGTACTTTCATATAAGTTAGCTCATTGGATGAACCACAATGAAGCAGCATTATTTACTTGATGCTATTTATTGTTTATGATCACATCATAATTAAACAACAAAATTAGTTACAGGCTTGGCTGCATATATTTTCAAAATAAGATAATAAACTCCGCTTAGACCATAGTAAACAGAAACACATGGAGATTATGGTCCACTCTATCGAACAAGAGACACTGTGGCAACTCCTTACAGTGGAATGAATATCTTTTTAATACATCTCAGTGTTGAAAGGTTCGTAACCCTAATGTTCACAGTCGTTATATGACCTACGACAGACTATTGGGTGAAACAGCTGTTTCCTACGACTGAACGGATGTAGGAAACAGCTGGCGGTAAAACCATCACGTCCCCAGCTCGATCAGGAAACTAAATCCGTATTTCAGGAAGAACTAGCTAAACACATATCTGAGTTCGACAGCTGTGCTCACCCTGAAGAAGCTTGGAAAAATATCCAGGCAGCCATAGATACAGCTGTAAAATCTGTGAATAAGTTAAACCAACCGCCTCATCCGAACTGATAGATGCTAGAAGACTTATTCCGGCGAGCTCCGAATTCAATGAGGAGCGAAAGCTGCACAAGAGGAAACTTACGAAAAGTCTCCGCAAGGACCGTGAACAGTGGTGGGCGACAAAAGCCAAAGAGATGGAGAAAGCTTCGAGGATAGGCAACATCAGGCAACTCTTTGGACTCATCAGGGAAACGGGTGGGAGAAGACAAATCATTAGTGAGACAATCTCGGAAAAAAATGGCACCATAATTAGCTCCCAGGATAGACGACTGGATCGTTGGAAAGAGCATTATGAGGAGCAGTTTAATTTGCCCACAGCCACGCTCAACCTTCCGAGCATCCAACACCTCCCTGAATGGGATATAAACACAGGTCCTCCGTCACTAACTGAGGTTACTAAAGCTGTCACCAATCTGAAACTAGGCAAAGCAGCGGGACCTGATGGAATGACTCCGGAGGTATTTGAGTACGGTGGAGACAGCTTACTGTCCGGATTAACTGAGGTACTAGGCAGCGTCTGGGAATCAGAAGAAGTCCCATCGGGTTGGTGTAAGTCACTGATTATCCCCATATACAAGAAAGGAGACAAGTCTTCCTGTGATAATCACAGAGGGATTAGCTTGACTAATATAGTATCTAAAGTCTTAGGCTCAATAATCATGCGTAGACTGAGTGGTGCTCGGGAAGCACAAACACGAGAGAGCCAGGCAGGCTTTAGACCAGGAAGAGGGTGTATTGATCATATCTTCACCCTCCGACAGATTCTAGAACATAGGCATTCCTACCGGCGTCCAACAGTCATTATATTTCTTGACCTAAAGGCAGCATTCGACTCTGTCGATCGGGAAGTTCTCTGGAGATGCTTGGCTGTAAAGGGAATTCCAAGAAAATATATTGCACTGATTAAGGCACTCTACTCGTACTCATACAGCCAGGTGAGGGCTTACGGCGAGCTGTCATCTGAACTGATGACGACCAGTGGTGTCCGTCAAGGATGCCCATTATCCCCTTTTCTATTCAACTTCATCATAGATGTGTTAATGGACTTAACCCTAAGTGACTTCAGCGACTCAGGGATTGACTTGCTACCGGGGAATAATCTCGTTGACTTGGAATATGCAGACGATATAGTCCTTCTAGGCGAAGACGCTGACGAAATGCAGAGTCTTCTAAACACCTTGAGCTGCAATCTACGAATGTTTGGCATGCGATTCGCTCCCACCAAATGCAAGATGATGTTACAGGACTGGACTACATCGACGCCTAGTTTAAAAATAGGAAGTGAAGTGGTAGAGCACGTTGACCGCTTCACTTATTTGGGAAGTACCATCAGCCCCAACGGGCTGATCTCTGACGAAATCTCAGCACGAATACAGGGGGCTCGTTTCGCATTTGCCAGTTTACGCCGACTCTGGCGTAGACGAGATGTTCGACTATCGACCAAAGGGCGGGTGTACTGCTCATCAGTCCGCTCCGTCCTCCTTTATGGTTGTGAGACCTGGCCACTGAGAGTGGAAGACATGAAAAGACTAGCTGTCTTTGATCATAGGTGCCTGCGCTCTATTTCCCGTGTAAAGTGGCATAATAAGGTGAGCAACATTGAGGTTAGGCGTAGAGTTCTAGGTAAACAGGGGAAATCAATCGACGAGGTTATGAAGTTACATAGACTGAGATGGTTAGGACATGTGTTACGTATGCCAAGCCATCGCCTCCCTCGACGAGCAATGTTAGCGGATATAGGGTCAGGCTGGAAAAAAGCTAGCGGCGGTCAAACAAAAACTTGGCACCAGTCAATGAAATCCACAACAGTTGGTCTAAGCCACGTAGGAAGGTGTAGACTTCCAGGCTGGGGTCCTCGGGACGGTAAAAATCTATGGTTGGAAACAATTGGTGACATGGCTCAAAATCGTTCTCAGTGGCGCAGATGCATCCACTCCTTGTGACTTATGATCTCCAATGAAACTGTTTTGTTTTTCTTTATTACTCCTTTGTCTCACACCTCTGCTCACTGTTTCTATTATGCTTTTCTTGTACTTTCTTCTCTTGCTTCGCGTGCTACACGGAGTGTGGCGACTTGAACTTCCGCACATTTGTGTAAAGTTCTATGTCGAAAACAGACAGACAGACAGAAACAGCTACATCGGATAGCGTTTGTCTAGGATATTTATTTTCCATATCCACTCAATTTCTTAGTAAAATATGCATATAAATATCTTTATTTCCACATCTAACTTGAGACAGATTACGCTGTTCCAGTAGAATACGCGGACGACATAACCTTGTTAAGATAAGATTTGATATTTAACAATTTCGATGATAACCTGGGAATTTCTGGAAAGTGGTGCAAATGAGACGGAAGAAAAAAACAAAAAACACAACGAAATGTCATCCGAGGGGGAATAAGATCAAACAGTGACGTACACTCCTTCAAAACAAATGAAGAAATTAACAACAGACATTGTAATCTAGCTATAAGCATTGCAAAATTTAAAAATAACGCAGAAAGTTCTTACGAGTTGATCACGGATTGATATCAGTTAGAGAACCATTGAAAACCAGGGAGTACTGGACAGCTGCTGTTTCATCCTAGTTTGGGAATCATCGGCAGTACGCACCCATCACAGTGTGGTTCGAACCCAGGACCTTCCGGTTACAAGGCAAGCTCGTATACCATTCAGCCACTGGCACCCGATTCAATGGCTCATGAATTCTAACTTCTACCAAAATTCGTGATTTAGCGCGACCCCAACCATTGTCGTTGGTGGGACATCCATCCACACACGTGACATCTAATTGGACCTCACTGGTCACTTCTCACTTCCAATTAGATGTCATGTGTGTGGATGGATGTCCCACCAACGACAATGGTTGGGGTCGCGCTAAATCACGAATTTTGGTAGAAGTTAGAATTCATGAGACATTGAATCGGTTGCCAGTGGTAGAATGGTATACGAGCTTGCCTTGTAACCGGAAGGTCCTGGGTTCGAACCACACTGTGATGGGTGCGTACTGCCGATGATTCCCAAACTAGGATGAAACAGCAGCTGTCCAGTACTCCGTGATGGTTTTCAATGGTTCTCTAACTGATATCAATCCGTGATCAACTCTTAAAAACATAACTAACCCTTATAAACCAAACTATTCAAAACGTTCACTCAAGTTAAAACAAGGCGCTCAATCTCCTAGTTGTCGGACTGGCAAATGAAAAGCTGCCAATTTGAATTGTGCTAACAAGGCGAATATTTCCTTTTCACTTACAACCACAACGTTATTACAACATAAAATTATATCTGATAGTCTTAAAACTTAAATGGCTGATCAGAAAATCGAGTTGCTAAGCTACCGATTATTGGTTGTATTCATACAGTTAGCTAGCTAGCATCTGAGGTTTCTTTTCAACTTTAATAATCACCTTCATGATTGAACAATATAATTTAACTTACGGTAGATAAAACAACTGGAAGCTGATGAAATGAATAATAATAACAGCTAAATGACAGTAGACTTCATTGACCCGCAAAGATCTTCGAGGATAATCAGAATAATTATCTGAAAACAAAAATTATACATAATCAAATACGAAAGGAATAAGAGTGTAGAATAAGCTATTGAAAAGACGAAATTAGAAGAACAAATGAATTGATTAATTCAGCACTACACATTACACGTCTCCTTTAGAACAATGTACATGAAGTAATGAGACTTCTTTGAGCGAATAATAAATACTACCACTCAGATTACTGGTATACTTTACTAGGCAATGAAACACAAGTGATGTGTGAACATTCATAATACTATCTCTGCTGTCCGGGCCAACATAGGTAAAAAGAAAACGGGATTTGAACACATGACTTGTTGAATGAAAGTGTGATGCCAATACACTTGATTTAACTTGGAGAATTCTCATCAGCTGGTTGTATAAGAAACAGACTTCACAAAATACGGTTTAGCATTATTGACATTGTAATCACATCTAATACACGACATATGTCAGGGTACACATGCATTTCCACAAGGTTAAAGAAACATTTATCAACGACAAGCGCCAAATATGACTAGCTGTATTCGCCAACAGATGTTTGCATTCTGTTTCCTGCGTTAAATGGTGAGTAACAATGAGGTTAAGCGTATAGTGTTATGTAAGGTGATATGAATTGACTGAGATAACTAGATCACGTTTTGCGCATTCCGAACTATCGCCTTCCCCCACGGTCAATGTTAGCTGACATAGGATCATCAAGTTGAAAAAAGAGTTAGAGGTGGTTAAACCAAAACCTGGTATCAGTCCATGAAATCTCTGACAGCTATTTCGATCTACGAAGTGGACTGCAAGCTGTCTGGTTGGAGTCCTCGGGTACCAAGGAGCCAATTGCTTAAGACTATTGGAGATATGGCTCGAAGTCACTCTCAGTGGTACTCTTTTTGATTTCCTATATCCATTAAACCCTATTTTTCCATGCAACTATTTTTTTTAAGTCATATTTCTGCTTGTTATAGCACTTTTGAATATCTTTTTACTCTCCTTTGTGGTAACTTGAACTGCTGCACTTCTGTACTAAGTTCTACGTTGAAATTCAGTCAGTCAACATCATATATGAAACAGAGAGAAAGGGAAGCTTTTGGTTGTTTAACTGTGGACAACATTAACAAAATGAATAGCACAATAGTATTATAACATTTCCACATGCGATCACATACATTGTTACATATACAGATTACTACACTTTGGGTACTACTGGTAGTCTAACAACTTAATATTTTTGACGGTGTGGTTTCAAAATGTGACGACTTTAAGCGATGCACTCATGTCCAAATTTCTATTTTGATCTGTCTGTCTGACTCCTACATAAACTACTAAGGGATGGACAGTTTTGCAGAAATAAAAACAGGTTTAACTGCTTATATTTACGGCCAATAAGCGTCAGTTTCATCGTTATGGAATAGCGAATATGTAAAGATTTCAAAGCAAATAACACAGTATATGATTGCATAGTGGACGAGATATTTAAGATTTCCTGGCAAGGGAATCTTCAGCTGTCCTAATTCAGAACTCTGCTAAAGCTACTAGACTACAAGAACAACACAAGACCATTCAGCCAGTACTTATAATTTCATTAACACTTGATTTTCAGATATAATCGATTTACTATATGTTGACACATCCTAGGATAAAATTTCGAAATAAGAAATGATTTAGTAGACTTCCACTGTTGTCTTGAGCCAAATATGGAAGTAAAGATTATTTAACTGGCATCTAATTGATATCGAAAATTTATGGCTGAAAAGTTTCGGTGACATGACACGAAATCGCCCGAAACACCAGTCAAAATACAAATTCATTTATATTTCTAATGTTTATGTCTCTCCTGGCTGTACCATATTGGATTTATCTATGTTCGCCGATGAATTCACCGCTTTTGCTGCAGCTTGTTTCGAGAACTCTTTATCAATAGTAACTGGCGACTTCAATGCTAGCGATTGCTCCTTCCTTATATCACTTGGTCATGACAATATTGTCAACTTTGCCACCCGTCTTGGTAAAAACTGGACCTGGTATTTATCAATGATGTTGGTATATATGAAGCTCGCAAACGTGCTCCTCTACTTAATTCTGACCACTGCATCATACGTGTGCTGCCTAAAATATATTCCAAATCACACAAAGGTGTCCTCTCTCACCTCTACAGTAAAGTTCAACGGAGATGCTACTCAAAAGACAACCTAGACAAGCTCAGATGCATGTTGAAAGACACTAACTGGGACTTATTTACAGAACAAACATTAGATGAAACAATCACAAACACTACCGATTATCTTAAATTCTGTTTCGAAATATGTTGTCCTAAAGAAACATTATTCATCCGATTTGATCGCTTATCTTCGCCATATCTCAAAAAGCTACGTAGAAATAAAGAACTGTTGTTCAAAACTAATGATAAGCCTGGTGTAAAAAAGTTAAACATGCTGATAAAACTGGAAATAAAAAGACTAAGTGTTTTATATAATCAAAGATTTTTGTCATGTAAAACCCCTTCTAATTTATGGAAACTTTTCAAAGAAATTACTAACGGTAAGCGATGTATTTCTGTTCCATCTCTTAATGTTGACACTCTTAATAAATCTTTCATACGCTCTTCTGTTGATACCCTTCCAAATGATACAAATCATATTGACAATAACTTTAGTGGTTTTAATACCCTTGATGTGCTTAAATGTCTCCGGTCTCTTAAGCCTTCTCAAAGCCTTGGTCCTGACGGCATACCTGCCATTGTCCTCAGGAATTGTGCTGATATTTTGTGTTATCCTCTTACTAACATTTTTAATGCCTCTTTTTCCGGTAACGTTCTACCTTTTGCATGGAAAAACATTAAAATTATCCCTATACCAAAACCATCTTCTGGTTCTGATATTAAATTTCGGCCTATTGCAATTACTTCCCCCTTTTTAAAATTGATGGAAAAATTACTTTTACTTCGTCTTGAACCCGCTTTGAAACCTTTTAATGATCCTAAACAATTTGCATACAAACATGGTAGAAGTACCTTGGATGCTGCGGTTGTCTTATATCACAATGTTGTCTCTTGTTTAGACAAAGGTGCTAAATATGTTCGTAGTGCTTTCTTAGACTACACATCTGCTTTTGACTCTGTACCTAGGGGCCTTTTGTTAAATAAGCTATCGTTGACACAAACAGGATCCTGGGCTAAGAGTTGGTTGCATTCCTATTTTTCTGATAGAATGCAGTATACTGTATATAACGGCAAATCTTCTTCTACCTCGCTTACAAAATCCGGTGTTCCACAAGGTGCTGTCCTCTCTCCTTTTCTTTTTTCTTTCTTCCTACATGACCTACCTCATTCAAACGAAACTAACTTTGTCAAATATGCAGATGATCTGACTGTATCACTGCCTATCACTTCCGAGTCTGACAGCTCCAAACTTAATAGCTTTCTGTTGGACATCAACAACTGGTCCAAGTCAAATGGTCTTATATTAAATCCTTCCAAATGTCAGGTGCTTGACTTTACTTTCAAGCATCGACGTGACTTACTTGAACTAGTTAACTCTCATGATCCCTGTAGCATAGATGGCACGGAAATTGAAACCAAATCAAGTATTAAATACCTTGGACTAGTTTTTTCCTCTGACCTTTCATGGTCATCCCATATCTTATCTATCTCTAAGAAAATGTTTCGTCTTACCTTCTACATTAAAAAGTTAAGACAATCAGGTATCAACCAACCTTTAGTTTTGCAATTTTTAAACTCCTGTATTTTACCTATTGTACTCTACTGCTCTCCATTAATCTTTCCTGGGCTTCTCAAAAAAGATTATATCATATTACGAAGAGTATTAAATGCTGTGAGTAGAGCTTGTGGTCTGCCACTGCATGAGCTCGCTAATACTATAGTCGAGAGGCATATAAATTCCTGTACGAAATGGGCAAAGGCTATAATGTCAGACCCTCTGCACCCCCTTTATTCACACCTGTCCCCTTGTATCTCATCAGGTAGGACGAGAAGTCAATATAAAAAGATATATGCTCGTACTACTAAGTATAGAAATTCTACAATACCCTATTTAGCGCGTACTTTATGTGACGAAGACTCTGTTAGACGTGAAACTTACAAGTTACTATGTAATTAGCACAGTGAATCGACCCTTTTATCGTTCATCTTTCTGTATTTTATGGTGTCACACTTTCTATCGTTTAAATCGTTACTCTGCTATTTTATTTTTAGTTGGTATTACTATTATTACTACAATTTTGTACTTTATACATATTTTTCTCCGTATGGCACACAGTATTTTGCTACGTAGCTGCTACAACAATCGTTTTATTACTATTATGTATTGTGTATTTTTATTTTTTTTGTCGTTTTTGAGTAAATTAGATGCAATATTGTACTGAATGCTGAAAATTCCTTGCTGTATCATGAGTACTGTTTTTGGAATAAAGCTATTATTATTATTATTATTATTATTATTATTATTTGACAGCAACAGATATGTTTACATTCTGAGCTATTTTCGTGTTCTGAATGCTTTCAATGACAACGACACATATGTTTACGTTATGAGCTGTTTTGGTGTTCTGAATGCTTTCAATGACAACGACACATATGTTTACGTTATGAGCTATTTTGGTGTTCTGAATGCTTTCAATGACAACGACACATATGTTTACGTTATGAGCTATTTTGGTGTTCTGAATGCTTTCAATGACAACGACACATATGTTTACGTTCTGAGCTATTTTGGTGTTCTGAATGCTTTCAATGACAATGATAACAATACTCCTCTATAGAGTGAAATTTGTAAATATAGCAGCTTGAAATGATGCATCACTGCAACTATAATTTTTAATAAATAAATTTAGACAGTGATCACGTTAACATGCATGATAAATCTAATGCATAGATACACTTTCTGTGTTGAATAATACTAAGGCTATGTTACTGAGATAACTAATCATCACGGTCCCGTCCCTGTAGAGGCAGCAGAAACCTTTCATGTAACGGAAGTATCATGTTCCGAGATTACTTACAGTCCACACAAATGGGTTCACAATTTTAAAGTCGTTTTTATCAAGATTGAATTTCAGTGTGAACTTGACATAACAATGTAAGGCGTCGTTGTCACCCATTCGAGGACGATTTCCTCAAACCTACTGGAAAATTGAGTCCAGCATACTAGATGGACAATTAGAATAAAACACTTTAATATCTAGTCATCAGGATATGTGGAAAAAGTTTATATAATAGACTTACCATCATTAATTTTAATTAATCGCATAGTTAATAATATCATGGATAACAGTAAATGCCCACAGAGTAAACCACCAAAGTGTGTACAATGAAGTCGAAACAACTAAATCAATAAATAAACAAGTAAGGAACTATTTTTAAAAAGGTAGGAACAAAACACATGTTAATGATGGTTTGATAAACAAACTGTCAGCGCAAAATTACACTTATTTTAAAAAATAGGAAACTGGTTATTAAACAGTGTTTAAAACATATTTTGGCAGGTATACAAGATATTCTCAACAAATAAGAACTGATAAATCCCAATGGTGGCCAAATTAGTACTCTCTCTCTACAAGTGTCGATGGAAATCATCCCATCAGCTGGCCAATATTTCGACGAAGGTAAGCAGGGTACACACACAAATGCATCACCTCAAGTCACTTCACATTTTAAAACAGTTAGCAAGACACAGTAAATGTAAGATGAAGAAGAAACGAACATGGTTATGAAACAGGGGAAGAGTATATATATATATATATATATATATATATATATATATATATATATACTGTACACTTCAACTTATAGTCATTTTTACTGTGTAATGCATTAGTGAAATTTCAGTTGTTAGATTTCATCATGAACCAACATCTGATAGAGACCAATGAAAAGAAAGGAGAGCTGGATACTTGTTTCATCCTAGTATGGAACTTTTCATCAGTGGGCACCCCCATGACCACATCAAGAATCGAATCCCAGAACTTTAGGTTACGAAACCAGGCTCCATAATCATCCACAAATATTAACTCTGTCAATTCATGATACAGCGTTACCTTCAACCAATCCATTTGATGAGCATCTACTGCACCTTGTGAAATGATGGACCCTGCTGGCTACCACTTGTCATTACAGCCTCAGAAGATCCGTTTAGTAGTCATCAATTAGTTGGAGATTGATATCTAATATTACGTAAAGTCCTGAATTTAAGAGGATTTATGGAACCCCTCCGATGCACTATCCACCGCATCACTGGCTATTATTGTAATGATAAATATTTTATTTTATAACCACAAGAATCTGAAGAGAATTTATTGGAAATAGTATTCTCCGTTCAGATCGACTTTTATTCCATGATATGGGAATATTTTTCACTTCTAGGCCCTACTCAAACTCACCACTTTCTCAAAGGTCATGTATGTCATTAAAATGGTGCTGCTAATCGAATAAAGGAAGACTAAGGCGTAATAATCTTCATGTATTTATTTTAAGCTGTGATTTCCAGTGTAAATGAGTTCAAGCTATTGACTAAGGTAGGCACTAGAATTCCGAATACCCTGCTCTGGGTTCCAAATTAATAACATCTACTTTAATATATGTGACCGGTTAACACAATCAGATCAATCACAGTGAAGTGTAGTTTATAGATAAGTATATACATCTGCTTTGAATTGTTTAGACACATTAGCCCGTAATGATAATGTTTTTATTTCAAACAGAACATTTTTGATACAGTGTGGAATTTTCAGCATGTAGTACAATACTGCGTTAATAATAACATCAATTAAAGTATAAATGGAAAGTCAGAATTAAATAGAAATAGTGATGACAATATTTTATTAACAGAAAAAAAAGAATAAAGCCATTTGCTTTTCCACAGTAAGTTAGTGGTTTCCTATCTAACACTTTCTGTATAGCATAAAATGCTTGCCATTTAAGGTATCGTTGAGTCTTTATATTAAATCGTTCAAGCATACCTCCTTCTAGTCCTACCTGAAGAGGTACAAGGGTAGAGTGGTATATAAAAAGGGTATTCAAAGTCCGTCAAGATGACATTCCTGCATTTATTCCCCTTGATAAATTTGAATAAAGCGAGAACAACATTGATTTGTGCAGAATAACATGGTACCATCATTTATTTCGTTGGCTTCTCGTCAGCTGCCGTCGCCATAAAACGCCTAGAAGGTGGTAGCCTCCAGAGGTCAATCTACCGAAAGCCCACATGGAATGGACAATACTTACATTTTAATAGTTTTTGTCCAAATAGCTATAAACGAGCACTAGTCAAGACTCTGTACTATAGAGCGAGGAGAATATGCTCTGCAGAGAAACTAGAGGAAGAATTCACGAATCTCGAAAAGGTGCTGAAAAACAACGGCTATACTCAAAAATTCATTAACAAATATGGAAGATGTGAAGGCCCAAATACCAAACAAATCACAGTCGAAAAAAAGCCTGTCTTCATTCAACTAGACTTTAAAGGTGAAGACATTGCAGAAATGGTCAACAGAAGACTGAGGACGCCACTAGCCAGAGCCTATCCTGCAGCTAAGTTGGTTCCCGTCCACCGAACAACATGCTCTTTGGTGCAGTCAAAAGTCGATAGATACCCTTCTCATGTTAACTCCAACTGTGTATACAAATTTACGTGTATCTGCGGGAGCAGTTACATTGGGAGAACAGAAAGAAGGGCACACCTCCGATTTTCTGAACATGTGCTGAAAAGCCTACGTCTCAAGGGAACAAACTCTTATAGCAGCGCTATTACCAGACATCTCCTCGACACGGGTCATGAGGTGGAAATCGAGAAATCCTTCAAAATTATCAATAGACAAAGGAGCTCCATTCTCCTCAAGTTTGCCGAAGCAATTTCTATCAAACGCTTGAAACCAGATCTATGTGTTCAGAAAGAATCAGTTATTAGTCTTTCCTTGCCTTGGTAACTGGATGTCTTTTTTCTCCCATCTGATTGCGTAATCTTTGTCTTTAACCTCACCCTCCTTTTATAATCTGTAATTTTGTTTGTCTCTTGTTTCTATGATTTGAGTTCAACTCAGTACATTGTTACCTAACTTATTAGTCATTATGCATCCCACGCACATCCCTTACCATTATATACATACATTTATTTATTATTTTTTAACTTGAACTACCTGTGTAAAAACTATATAAGCGCAATTTTCTGAGCACTGTTTACTAGTTGTGAAACTTTCTGTCAACATGTAAAATTTGCAAGTAGGTTAAAGCGTTTCTGTACTTAAACCTGAAAATTTATTTAGGCTGTAAGCAGCTGACCAGAAGCCAACGAAATAAATGATGGTACCATGTTATTCTGCACAAATCAATGTTGTTCTCGCTTTATTCAAAAGATGACATTCGCCAATTTCTTGAATTAGTTTAAATGTCTGTCCCTAACGAGTTGGTTCAGTGACACCCCATTCGCTCTACCAACAGCTTTTAATCCTTCACGTAATGTAGCAAGGATTTTCCTTAAGTAGCCCAGAAAAGATTAAGGAGAAGCAATCAATAAACATGATTTTTCAGTAATCTAATATATATCAGTGTCGTTATTATATTGTGTGACAGATATAATGAAAGCAAGAGAACTGAATTGACTTGCATTCTTCACAAAATAGTTTAGCCAACATTTTACATGCAAGTAAGTACACAATGCAATCTGGTTACTGACCATATTATTTTCTGGAATAAGCTGAAATCTAAGGGAACAAGAATTGAATCAACAAAACAAAATTCAGCCAAAATACTACTTTCATTGACCGAAATCTCTCCTACACAAAAACATGAATGGGATGAACATTTTCAATTTGGAACACACCTCAAGGAAACAGGAAAGAAAAAAACGCTGAAAACAATTCACTTAGATACACACTTCAATTGAAAACTATCGATTTACGAGTATGAAAAAGAAAGTAAAAATACTTTTATTATTACGAAAGTACCATTAGGTAGGTACACTACTACAATTAGAGATGGTGGTAGTAGTAAGCAGTGATACATGTGGTAAAATGACATATTTTGACCAATAGGAAGAGAGAAAGACTATTATTTATCTCTTCAAGGTCATTCGCAGAAAACCAATCACATAACCAAATAATGAAAACTAAAGTTTCTACTAGAGCAAAAATAATCTTATTATGCAGAAAATTCGCAAAGAAATCATTAAAGACATTTAGGTAAGTGTTCATTGAAAATTTAAACTATTTATGCTGTTTAACTATCACTACAGCACAGTGAAAATAGAAAACCAAATATAATCGTCTTCACTTAGTGGTGACTTAAAAGTGTAATGACAAATATAAAAACACTAGATATTTATAAACATGAGAATCTGAAAAGCCTTATTTTTTGTTTTCATTCTACTGAAACTGGAGATCTTAATTTATACCTGAAAGTGATCAGTAGTAAATACACTCACATGTTTCCATCTTGACGTGCATTCTATAAAGCATTGGGACACAAAATAATAAATATTTAACCAGTAAATTTTTATCACTACGATTCATGTGTGAGTGATAAGGGAATTAGTTTTGCTGAAACACTATCAGTTTAAACATGACAGTATGTATAAAGTATTTTATTTAAAGATTGAATGGGTATATTTGATACAAAAAGCTACATGTTTTGCAGTACTGCGTGCAGAAGCATACGCACACCACTGATCTGTAGCTATTATCCTCACAATTTCATCAAAAAGTGTTTAAGCTCAAGTCATAGCACTAACAACAAGCAAACACCAGAGACCACAAGAAAATCCATCCTACCGTGTATAAAAAATATCTGTGAAATAGGGGCTGTCTGTTTTCGACATAGAACTTTACACACATATGTGCGGGAGTTCAAGTCGCCACACTCCATGGAGCACACAAAGCAACCGAAGAAGGTAGAAGAAATGCCTTATAGTGACAATAAACAGAGGTGTGAGACAAAGGAATAGTAATAACGAAGAACAAAACAGTTTCATTGGAAATCAGAGGTCACAAGGAGTGGATGCATCTGCGCCAGTCATTGAGAACGATTTTGAGCCATGTCACCAATTGTTTCCAACCATTGGTCTTTACCGTCCCGAAGACCCAAACAAGTCAGGAAGTCTACACCTTCCTGCGTGACTGGCTTAAAATAACTGTTGTGGATTTCATTGACTGGTGCCATTTTTTCGTTTGACCTCCGCTAGCTCTTTTCCAGCCTGACTGTATGTCAGCTAACATTTACCATCAGTGGAGGAAGGCGATGACTAGTTGTACATACGTAACACGTGTCCTAACCATCTCAGTCTATGTAATTTCACAGCCTCGTCGATTGATTTCCCCTCCTTACCAAGTATTCAACCGACGCCTAACCTCAATATTGCTCACCTTATTATACCACTTCACACGGGAGATAGAACGCAGGCACCAATGATCAAAGACAGCTAATCTTTTCATGTCTTCCACTCTCAGTATAGTAACAATATCTAGTCTAAGTAAACATCTTTTCAATAACCAATTTTAAAAAGGTCCTGGGTTCGGACCCCAAAGGGTGAGCGTACTGGTGAAGAGCTCCAAACCAGGACGGCATACCTGTTCAGTACTCCCTGGGTCTCAATCAATCCATGATCCGATTTGTAATATGCAATAACTATTGTAAATTTTACAATAACTAAATAATGATTGCTTTCATTAGGTAAAAGTAACAACGAGAACAACAGAAACGTGAAAAGGAAAAAAAGCAATACGTTTCAACATGTTGGAATTAAAATTGATGCGACGATTTACAGAACCCATTCATCACTTTCATGAATCAAACACAAATAAAAACCAACCAATAGTACACAAGATAACCTTCAATAAAGATAAACAATCTTGTATACTCGCCATGCCTGTCAGTCTATATCGTAGGAAATATCTTCAAAAATGTAATCAATGGATAAAGGATACTACAACATGTACTCCTATTCTTAATGATGAGGATGCTATTTATGTGAATACAAATAAACGAATAAGTAGTTATGATGATGAGAATAACGAAGATATAACCGTGCAAGATGCAATACAATCAGACATAGGAGATATCAATAAGACTACTACTACTACTATTTCTAATAATAATGCTGACAATAACGATGACCACTGTCCCGATTATCATCCGACAAAATATTATTTCCTTAAAACAAATAATCAAATTGAGTTAATTCAACCAATCAACAATTCAACGAATTTCTTCTTCACACTAGCTAATCAAATTCAAGATGAATATCGTTGTCATGATCAAAGGGAAGATAAAGATAAACACTTCACACAAATATGGACACATAGAGAGAAACCAATAGATCAGAAAAAAGTTATCAGTAATGCACTGAAAGAAACGCTGAAACGAAAGAAAAATAAAAAAGGTAAGACACAACAAGATTTCTTGCATATAACCTGCCCTACAAAATGGATGTCTGTAGAGATACAGCTTTTAAAAGAATAATATAAGTACTTTGTCTAAAAGACAAATCTACAGTTAGAATATTTTATATTGTAATAAAGTGGTCATAATCACAGTTTCTTGATTAAGCTGTAAATATGTGTTAGGCAGAAATACACATAAATATTTTTCATTTCACCTCCCGCTAACACTAAGGCGACAAATGATACTACATCATTAACACGTATAATATCTAACATTCTGAATAATGGTAACTCAGAAGTATTAAAAAGTATTGGAATAAATTGTCACTTTAGCATGGAGATCGCTTAAATATTGCCATTTAGTGGAACTACATGCATAGTTTCCATTCAGAGAATGTGTGAACTGAGAATACATATGATTACAGCACACGAATTAATATTGAATTGGTTACAGGATTTCATCATGAGCTGACATTGGTTGGAGAACCATTGGAAAACCTGGGAGTACTGGACAGCTGTTTCGTCCTAGTTTGGGACTCATCAACAGTACGCTTCCACCGGGGTTCGAACCCAGGGCCTTCTGGTTACAAGGCGAGCTCGTATACTAATGGCCCATGAATTCCAACTTCTGCCAATTCACGAATTAATTATTAGTCCTAGTGAGAAGTCGTAGATAGTGAGGTCCATCCAGTCGGTAGTGAGGATGGAGTGCCCGCCGATGACACTGATCAGTAATCGCGCTAACATCATGAACTGGTACAAGTTAGAATTCATGGACTAGCCACTGATTGTGGTGCCAGTGGGTGAGTACTGCCGATGATTCTCAAACTAGGAGGCGACAGCTGTCCAGTACTCCTGGTTTTCAATGGTTCTCCAAATGATATTAATCCGTGGTCAAACTCGAAAAACAAATCAAGTCTTGAAAAAATAATTAATTGGTTAAGTAGTGAGATCCTATATCATCTAGTGAATACGGAACATAATGTGAATTGTTTAAAGTCGTTCAAAGTAATCAAACCGCACAATAAAACCTGTCTACTGTGTTTTATGCTGTGGTAATCAGTTTTAATTTGACAAACTGATTTCACTATAATTGAAGGCAACACATGGATTTGAAATAAAAGAATTCGATTGTGACAGAGTTTGAACTGATGGCCTCCAGTGTTGTTCGCGATGTACTAAAGTAAGAAATAGACACTTTAGCCATTAAAAACAACGACTAATGACTAAGGCATTCTGAATATTAAGAGGCGAATATTGGGGTAGCACAAATGATCATACTTCTGCATAACCCGATTATGTATACTAACGAATCAAATGTAAAAAAAGAACTTATGATAAAACAAGTGCACCTTTATAATTTGATATGAAAAAAAACAACTCTTAAAAGTGCAAACCTGGTGTGTAGACGTCTTTAAAATGATATAAATCAGTTAAATCTAAGTAATGCAATACTTAAAGACAAACTTTTAGTATAAACAGAGAAGTATCAATAAAAGTGAGGAGTTTCACAATGGCTATTTCTTTTTTCCTTTTGAACAATGCAAGAACTACAGTTTTAGCAGAATAAAATGGTACCATCTTTTATTTCGTTGCCTTCTCGTCAGCTGCTTACATGGCAAAGACATTATCAAATATATATATATATATATATATATATATATCCTTTTCCCAAGTAAATTACACAAACCATTAACGTTATACAATCCAAATGTTGATATAATATCACCGATACAATAATCTATTGAAAGCTGTTAACTGATTTTCGGCTTTTCATTTTACTAGAAGAAATAGACTGGAGTATGTTGGTGTTTGGTCTTTTCACACTCTAAAAATATAAACATGATAGTAGTCAGTAGTGGTACGTATCGATGGCGTATGTTTTAACCTATTTTGGAGCCATCACGGTCTAACATATCTGTGCTACACTGACTTTGTTTAAAGTGAAACTAGAATGTAACACTTATCTCAGCATGACCCACTTCCCAGCTAATTTCAGAGAGAATGTAAAAAATAAAATAATGAGGTAGATCATAATCTAAAAAGCTATCCGGTGGTGACTGATTCGAATCTTGCTGAAACCCCAGTTTTGATCGTACCTTGAATCACCACTCATTACAGGTATATAGTAGTTTGCTATTCCCAAGCTACCCCATGATTGTGTCATTATCAAATAAATGACACCAATATGTCGGATATTGCGCACCCGTAAACAGGCAGTAACCTAGTTGACGCTGCTGTAATATTTAAAGCGATGCACCGTGATCACCCACAGAGATGAGCACATCGGATTAATGAGTTTTCAGTAAAACATATACGATTTTAAATACTATCGCTATCTTCCAGCATGACTCATACTGATATCCGAACAATTTAAGCCATTTTAACATCACCATTTGACCACATATCATTTTCTTTCAACTTAGCCCCCTATCAGAAGGTTAAAATTGGAACCTTAGTGTGGCAGAGTGTACAAGTGTACTAAGCTAAGCTCAGCAGTCTGAACACTTCCATCACTAGTTTGTTAACTAAAAGTATCCATATGTGTACCGATCAATTGGTGACCTTTTCAATCCCCAAAAGTTACCTAGTAAACATCACGGGATTTATTTTTAGTGTAAAATAAGCATGAATTTTCGCTGAAATTACTCATAAAAATTAGTTGTGTGAGGGAAATATTCTTACATACTTGTCTAAAAATTTGCATACATCTAACAAAGTTAACTTTTTCAATAAAAATTTTTATGTCATAAATATACTTCTCCCCAAAATAGAAATGGAATTCAATCAGTTGAAAAACACTCAAATAACGCAGAATACAGTATTCAACTCTGTATCAAATTTCTTGCTTCATTGTGTTACAATTGATGAATGTCCATTAACCGAACAACTCGATTCATCAAGCACCTATTCATCATATTCTCCGTGCAATCAACAAACAGACGATATGCAAACTACTGAGGGAACAATAACAATTAGTGAAGTAGACAAAACTGGTAAGTTGATTGAACTAGTTATAAAATTATAACGAAAAAAAACTAGTCTACCATTTGTCCAGTAATAATTTACGAGGGAGCATCATCCGTTATGTAGCTGGGCCTAGTCGCCTCTGAAAGAAAATTTATTCAAAGTACCTGTAGTTGGGTTTTGCAAACGCTTAATTCATGTTTGCTTTTTCCACCAATTCGTTAGATGAAATCAGATGTCACCAGTCCACCTAAGTAACTAGTCAGAATACAAGTAGTTTGGGCAGTTAAACACTATCTTACTAACTGAAGCATTTAGTTGCTTATACAGTTTAAGGTCTACTATTACTCTATAAACTGGATGGAATTCATATCCACTGATAATATAAAACTTCTCTTAAATTTAGCATTAAGGTATTTGAAAGAAGCAATTAAAAATACGAATAAAAGTATAATAACATAGAAACACTTCCCACATACGAACACAAGAGGAAAGGAGACATCGACATATGTCTAACCCTTCACATCTTTACGATCTTTATCAACTGATATTAAGTATCCATTGAAGCAGTTCCAGCTAAAAACTCACTTCGACAGTCGGTGATATCATGAGATTTAGGAATCTTATAACATGGCTGCCTTTTTTTCTTTTCCAATATAATTTAATCCCAGCCTAAGTTCAAATGAAACATAAAATGCTGAACATTTTACACAACTCCTTATCTACAGATTTCAGTTAAGTGGTTGTTTTAGGCACATAACTTCCAATGGATCGGTCACGGATCCTATACTCCCTCTCCTTCATCGTCTAACTAGGCAGTCTGGTAATATCAACAGATGTCAAACAGCTACGGCCCATAGTCAGACATGCAAATAATTCCTTAGTATCTATCATATGTATTTAGTCCTTCTTACCCATGCATTGGACTTTATTGTACAATATACCAGTGCTTAGTAATACCACATTATTATAAACGTCATTGCTTTATAATATCGATTACTCGTGAATCGATCATTTTTTAAAGTATATAACTTATTTATATTTAAATAAAGATTGACACTTATTATGTGTACGTATCATACACTTACCTATTTGATGTACTATTTCTGTATAAGTTGGACTTTAGGTACTATGACTACGACAATTGTTTACAAAGAATTAGGGGGAGAAAACTCAAGTGAATAAAAAATATCAATATTCAAGAGCTGTATCAAAAATAAACAAGGAATTTGTGAGGAATTAAGGAAAAGTGACATTTTGAAGGCAGATGTAATTAACAGCTGACTAACAACTAGGTATGTGTTCGAAACAAAATAAGAGAAATGTCGAAAGTCTAATCCGTTCTAGTTTTGTAGATCCTGGATAATTAAAATAAACTACCTAATGAAGAAGTGGCGCAAAGCTTAGTCACGTTTCGAGACAGGTGAGTCACTATCCAACTCAGTGTCGCTCTAGAAAGTATCAGCTCAGTGTACAGTTCACCTTGAAACTCCAACTGAATTTCGTCAAACTAAACAAATTACATAATTCTGCAAACTAAAAAGAGTTGGATTAATTTTAAAACATCCTGACGGAGAATAACAGACAACACTACAAACGGATCAAATATAAAACTACTTTTTACAGTCATAGTAAAGTGTATCTTAGTTTATAAGTAAAAAGAAACAGCAACCTAAAATGAGGGTTAAATATAGTTCCTAGCTAGTTGTCAACACTATTAAATGCGAAAGGCACTTTCAAAATTCAGACTGATATCAGTAAACATTTATTCAAGTTATTACAGTTTACATCTATAAATGCTGACTTAAATATCATCGTAATAATCATTATAATAAGGGTTTTGTATTTCTCAATGAATGAAAAACAAAACGATATTGTTTTTTACTGACGTTTCGTTATTTAATGCTAATAGCTTTATCAAAGTATTATTAAACCGGAATTTACAAAATCTCAGCATATATAACAAAGAGTTAAGAGGTGAGAAAATAGCCTTAGGTCAATTCAAAGCGACATATTGAAAGTCAAAATAACGATGAAGATCACTAAACCAAATAACAAAGGTAATAGTACGTCTGTTATGATATCGAAACAAAGTTTACTAACTTGATCATCGTTCATCAGTCTGGGATCATTTTTCGTTATCAAGTCGGTCAACTGGCAAAGATAACAAAATCAAGTATAGATTGTTGGATTTAATTAGTGTGTAAAATTGTAAAAACAGTGTGTGTTTACATAGTGGACTTGCTTATCACATTCGTGTTGATTTTGTCCCTTCATGGGGGAGGGAGGTGTTGTAACCAGGCCAGATTCTGTTTTATTCCATCATCCCTATTCATCAGATAATTCGGATCCTACTTCATATGAAGCACTTCTGATATTAGACGTTCTTTCTGATTTCTGAAGTTTTTCTGGATTATTTTAATATTGTCGAAAAAAATTTTGTGGCCTGATTCTATAGCGTGTGGCTGATGATTTTTCAAGTTTTTCCTGTTCAACCGGATTTCTCAGTGGTCGAACAGAGGCGGCTCTACGGTGTTCGTTTCTTCTCATTTTGATTTCTCCAGATGTTTGTCCGATGTAGATCGCATCACATTCCAAGCATTTTATTTTATAGAAACAATTAGATACAGAATCTTTAGGCATCGTAATAACTTATAAGCCATATAGCTTGATGAATGTAGTCATCATCAATTTTTAACTGTAATCCACTACCAGAATTTAGAATCTTCGCATACCAACACGGCGAGGAAAGTAGCTGATACGCATCTGACCAACTTCAGCTTTTTTCAACCGTATCGCAATCCAATTAGGCTAACACTGCATTTTAGGAGAGTCGATGAATAGGTATGCATAAAAACATACCGCGACCATGTCAAGTAGTGATAGTTTGCAATCTAACCGACTCTAGTTCAATCCCGTCGACTCTAAGAAGACAATCAGATATTTAGTTTGGCAGAGGTTAAATGAGGTTTTTTGTGACGGTTTATAAATTTTGTCAGTTACCAGATACGTGATCAAATGTGAGTGCAACTTTCCTACTGGATTTGGTCGTAAGTCATTACGCTTGGAGTTGTTCGTCATCTGCTTAGATTGTCTCACAGATGACAACCACAGAATCCACGGACTGGAAGCCATAAACGCTACAAACTGGTGTCGTGTAGTATATTAATTACGCTTAGCACTTCCCGAATTATTCGAGATCAGCTAACACTAGACGCTATTAAAGACAATGACTTTATTTGTGTAATACATATTTCAAATAAATCAAATGACTTATTCATCATGTAACCTGGCTACGATGCTTATCTACACCTAACCTGAATAATATGAAAATCAGGAGGTTAAATGCTTGAAGTCTGTCTAAAATCATTTGCCTCTAGAAGGAATAAGGCCGGATAGAACAGATGATTGATTATCAAAATATCTCACTGACTGCCAATCAGCCCACCAGGACTAATACATCTTCCTAAGCAAATAAAGTGATCAACCTGTTCAACTTATTGTTAAACAGAATACTGATGCCAACAACAATTATAGAAACAATAATTTTTATTTTTATTTAAATGGAAAATCTATTTTAAATATGCTGAAAATCTTTAGTTGATATGCCTCCATTTTCTTTACACTTTTCAGATACTACTTATGAGTACATGAAAAGAGGTAAAATAAAAAAATCCAACATCTTTGTAAATCCTGGACCAATACCCAAAGAAATTAATCGAAGCAATTTTTATAAGCATAGGAAATATGTTAATCAACCCTTCAAGCTGATGATGAGTACTCGTAAAAAACGTCCTGATCCATTTATTTAATATAATAATAGAAGTGACGCAAAGGAATAACTATTATGCTTATTCTGTAACCACCGAAGAATTGAAAATTACACGTCATCACACTTCCATATATATATATATATATATATATATATATATATATATATATATATATATATATAAATCGATAAATAAAAAGTGTAAACTCCTCTAGCAGTTTTATTAAATGTGATTTTTTGAAAGAGAATATCAAACGTGGTTGTTTTTATTGGTGTATGTATTATGGGCAGAGTGATACTGGGTTGTCGGGTTGTCTAATTTGACTAGAATGCACTTGGCGAAACACAACATTATGACCACCTGATCATTTCAATTTATTTGTCTTCCATACTGTGATACACCTAGAAGTCGGTCTGTGAAAAAACGGCGATTGGAACGACAACAACCGCAACAACATTTATTAGACAATGTACATTATATATTATATTTATGAATCCTCAGACAATGAGACCATAAATAAACGAATCAAAACCGTCTAATAAGTCTATCATAAGTATAAAAACGAAGTTTGCCCGTCCTAACAAGGTGCGAACAAGACACCTCAGGTTGTAGTGGAGTTTAAGTAGTACGGAAAAGTTGGTAGGAAGGAGGGATATCATGATATTTTTCTCTATTCTCATCAGAGAAATCAGTAGTTTCTGTGAGATATTAATCAATATCAATCAATAGGATGGCCACAAACATTATTACAACGGCAAAAAGTTTGATAAGTTTTGTTTTCAAATCCGGCCAGATATTTTAACATTAATGTCAACTCGTGTGTTTTTAAGTGTATCAGAATAGGTGAGCGAGTCGCCGAAAAGCACTTGCAACACACTACATGCTTTCACCAATATCTGCCTTCGCTCGACACTAAAGTTCGAATGGTTGAGCAGAAAGGATAAACAACTGGGAACTCTGTTAGGCAGTGTGTACCAGCCATAAACTTATAACCCAATAAATACGTAGAAGAAGATGGAGATGGACTTAACATACACTGGTGGAACACATTCTAAAGATGCCACACGTCATATCATCGAGTGGAATCCGAATGCTCAGAGGTGACATGGAAAAGAGAATGTGAAGGGGAAATGAAATTTTGTGAGCAGTATTGAAGCCAGCTGAAAATGGTAGCAGAGAACGGAAAGCAATGTAGATATGCCGCCGAAGTCCTAATTTCCACTTGGAATGCAATGAACGAATAACTATACGATAATATTTAGTATATCAACCGATGCAAAGCAATAGGACTGTTAATTTTCGATTCCTCTTCACTATATAAACAGTAAATAAAAAGACGATTAATACATGCAATTTAATATTTTCTAGACCTACAGTTATCATCACAAGCTGAAAGATTATTAGGATAGTAACTTGCAGATAATTATAAGGATATTAGTGAAAAGACAAGCTATTTGAAGAAATAATAAACACTTTCCTTTTATCAAACTTAACTTACATGCATATCAAATTACGATTCATCACAGACGCGTTGAAAATTCATTAACAAATGTGCATATACGTTATCACCACAGAATTGATAATAAACGAGAAAAACACTTTGAAATCAAAGCGTAACAAACATCTACCTAAATTTGCATATCTTGATCAGTAGTCATCTACAATACGATAACACACTGTGAAAAAAACTGTCAAGCTTAGTAGAAAACAGGTTATCACTCAGTCAATCAATCTTAAATTGACAAACTTGTGGGTGCATACACATGAAAGCTGAGAGAATCTTTCGATGACTGAAGTGAAATAAAATTTGGTTAACAGCTGTGTACTCCAGATCAATCACAGTAGAGAACGCTGTGCTGATCCAAATCAGTTTAGCTTCAATTATCACACAATTAGAGTTTGTTTAGTACAACCACACACGCACACACATACATACACACAAACACATCTAATCGCGTATAAACCTACCTGTGAATACCAGTTGATCAGAGAATAATGAATAGAGAGTTCGTAGGCACAATTCGGATCCAAATAGAGATCAATAAATGAACGTGATTCTTTTGTGTAGTTTACCAGTGATAAATGTGATACTGGCAGTTGGAGAGAAATCTCTGTTTTTGTATCCCTGTAGACAAATCGAGAAAAACAACTCTTTAAAGTCCAGAGGTAAATAAAAACACTAGACAATACATTTGTATTCAACTTGTTCCAGTTGTTAGTATCAAATATCAGCACAATGTGTTGGAATATTAAAAGGTGAAGTCAATATCAGATAACTGATCTGGCAACTATACAATTGAGTATATATAAAGAGATAAACTAAGTGATAAAGTTCATGATCTAATCAATCGTCACAAAAAAAACAACAAAAATAATTCATGTTTGAGATGAAAATTCACATTGAGAGACCAACCAACAAATAGAAAAAAGAATTCGAAATCATAACTATAGGGAATTGTAATTAGAGATCAATATGGTAGGAAACACAGCACAAGAAGTGAATGAATCACTGATGCGACAACTACAACATAATAGTAAGCTATAGGTATAAAGTAGTAGGGAAATAATAAAGGATAATGAATGAAATATACAAGGTAGTAGCGGTCTCATATCACTTGGACAATGGGCAACTACGTCGCATATATCGACCATACATTTATCAACGGAACTGTTAGACACCATGAGTCCTTTAATACGTCATTTTTATAATTAATAATAACAAATAGTTTACATCTTAATGTTTCTGTTATATGAATAATTCTCAAAAACTAAAGCCCGATCTCACCAAAAGTTGACGACGACAACTGATTCTCGATATCAGCAGGGAAATCTACAATTCCATATTTGGCACAAGTCAACAGACAAAACTTGTTTTCCTCTGACCACCCTTAACTCTTTCCCAACCTAATCCTTCTCATTGAAGAACGTGGTGGCTAAAACATATTTTACCTAACACAATAAACATAGATTCAAGTGTTGGTTTGTAGGGATTTGATTGGTTTACAGGATTTCATCATGAGCTGACATTAGTTAGAGAACCATTGGAAAACCTGGGAGTACTGGACGGCTGCTTCATCCTAGTTTGGGACTCTTCAGCAGTACGCACAGGTTTTCCAATGGTTCTCTAACTAATGTCAGCTCATGATGAAATCCTGTAAACATAAATTCATTATTATTTGTCATCTTGCTTCATCTAACACAAATAAGGAGTATGTAATGAAAGACCCTACTCTGTTCACAGTTATTTTCAATAACCATGTCTAATAACCACAAAGTAGGACAGAGTAAAATATCGTATGTCATACGCACCACATCATGTGTAGTCAGTTAACATATACATGCCAAAGATAATAGTTTTTTGTTAAAAGGTATTTTAGCAGTTTCCACTGTTCACCAGTTTCAAAGGACATCAAGATTAGTCTGATCAATTTGGATGAGCGAAAATCGATTCAATGGCTTTTGACCGTGAACTTCGTAAGATGCCAAACTTTCTCCGGATGAGTATTGTTGTCATAGGCATAATGTTTTGGTTAGCTTCCTTCTAAGGATCTATCATTCTCATGAAAACGCTGGAAATATATAGGCTTGACAGCTGCTTCTTTACTATGATCATTCGATCTCAAGTACACAAGTGCACAGACTACCGCACGATTGCATTCTATGCACGTACGTTTAGAAGGCGTAGATATCTTGCACAGGTCCTCTAGATTAACAGCTTATTACAGAGCAACTACAAGCTTCACAAACATCAACTTAGTCCTAAGCAGGAATACGTGGTTATCTTAACAGAAGCGTAAAAGGCAATCAACAGTATTCCTGTGTCGACTCGGGTTTTATGTAAATAAACGACACAAACGTTTCCACTAATCACAATGCTAATGATGTTTTCTTCCAGGTACTTCGAGGAGTCGTAAAATCCCACAGTGTAGGCAGTCAGCGAGTAGCGACCTCCTACAAACATTAATTTTTTCATGAAGTTTTTATGTTTATCACTCACCATTTGTTTTATTTTCTGCTAGTACTATTCCACAGGTAAATTTCCCACCTTCTCCCAAATGCATGATCATTGCTAATAACCTAAACCAAAAAAATATCGTTCCTAAAGTCCTAAAACCACTCTCACAACGTTATATTTCAACCTATGACAGTTCGAATTTACACAAAACCGAACAATAGAGCTCACTGCGCTTTGGATTTGCTGTCTCTGAAATACATACACAAGAATCCAGCGTGGTGATAACTGAGTTTAGGGTGATGACGATGGTAAGTCACTTACTAGAGTGACCAAGGTGGTGTCTGGGATTCCGAGATAATTGCAGCCAATTGATATGCATCCCAATTTAATAGAAAAGGCGAAAATCTTCTGATAACCAGTTGAAAAGAACAAAACAACTAGTTCGGCAAAGAGGCTTGTTTCGGCGAATTCATTTTCGTTGGCTGTACAATCGCAATTATACATAATTTTTCACGAAAGAGGGTAGTTAGCTATTAGTCAATGCATAAGAGGAGTTGAGTGAGCATATTAGGACTGCATTGCTCAGCACTTTTATTCACATTCATTTCACATGTACTGACCCTGACGAAATTAAACCGCACTGATATCGGTTTGCTACAAGGGAGAATTTTTAGCCTTGAGTATGAGGATAATATAATTTTCCCATGTGAAGACGCTGATAGGTCCAGTATCATCTGAAAACCTTTAGGAAGAATTTAGAGTGAAATTTTCTCCTGTCATATGCAAGATGACGTTGCAGGACTGGCTGGTAGAAACTCCTGTTCAAGGAATAGGAAGTGGAATAGATGAGTGGTAGTAGTCCACGAAGTCTTTGACTGTTGGTTTGAGACAAGTAGGAAGCTGGTGGTTGTCTGGTTGTGGTCATTGGAATGTTGACAATTAACGGTTGAAAAATGACTTGGCTAAAACTCATTAATTTTAGAGCAGATTTATCCACCTCTTGTCTTCTCCAGATATATGAATAACACCACTAACTTTGATTCAATTATTCTCCCTCTCATGAGTTTCGCCGAATGTGATTTCATTACACTTCTTTTCTCTATTTGTATACGTGTTTTATTAAAGTGGGGCAACTTGGACTGACATACAATTGCGTAGAACTACCCATCAATTCATCAGACAGTCATCATCAATTATTTCGTAAGTTCATACTAAAGCAATCAACAGTTTTGTTTCCAATGGGTTTCATGGAAGAGAATTCACGTATAACTTCAATAACCGTAACTGGCAACTGACCAAAACTTAACTTCACCTAAGCAGCCTGTAAATTAACTTTAATGAAAAAAAAATCTTTTAAAAGTTAATTTTTGACCGATAACTTACTCGATAGCAACATAATGAAAGTAGTTACACCATAATGCGTTCATTGTAATCATTCCCATAAATTCTATTGGTTAAAAGAAAAATTATTTTCAACATGTAAGTTTTATGTCAACTTCAGAAACAATATGCCCAAAAATAAGATATTACAGATGTTTGCAACATTATTTAGCTATGTTTGATCAATAATCCACACGAGATTAACAAGACCTCTTCATCATTCTATAGATCACAAGGAGACGCTCAGATAGTGGAATTTTGGGAATCTGAATGATTTCAAAGAAGATCTCATAGGCTGTCATCAATTAGCAAACGACTGAAGACGACAGAGCATTAAACGAAACTTAAAATTAATGAATTCTATGTAATCCATTGAATAGCTACGTGCTCTTCACATAATCTGAGTGTCCAGAGGTTAATCTATAATGCAACTGAAGGTGCATATTTTTAAGGAGTATGGTATCAGGACGGAACAGTCTCCTGTTTTCTCCTGCTTTTCAATGATTTCTCAACTAATATAATTCTGTCACGCAACCCAGCTTGAGACTAAGACATACTGAAAGTATGTTGATGGCAATAAAGATTGAACTCTCCATAATAAAAATTCTTCCATAAATTCCAGTTGCAACCAGAAGCGATAGTAATAACCAAGTGGCATATCTGATACTTGCGACCCTATAAAAATTACCAGCTACCCAACTGTCATCTATTAACGATCCAGTACACATGGAGTCAAACCATGAAGTCTCTGATCATAGAGGCCAGTTGACTAGCATTCTCGAAATGCTAAAAGACAATCTTCACAGTATAGGTGAAACGATCTAAAATCCTTCACAATCACACATATGCATTTAATGCTCATTATTTTTGAAATTCAAAACAGTGATATCCATTATGTTATTCTTTTAAGTTCTCTTTAGATCAATTTCTTATCGTATGCTAGTTTGAAGTATGGCAACTTGAAACGGTGTATTTCTGTGCAAAGTCCTAAGTTTTTTTTCATTGCAGCTTGATTCCACATAGCACCTTTTCTTTAGGAGATGTAAGGAATTTTCAGCATGTGATATCGGTAGCCCAAATCCTGCAGGCAGACCACTGATACTGGGTGTGCGTCGGAAGGGGATCGAACTCCAGACTATGTTCATGGTCCTGACCACTGTGCCACCGAAGCACATTCATTTGTTTGACTAGCACAATTTATTACATAACAGAAAATAAAATAAATCTTTACACTCATAAAAAAACACAATAAGGATGAGTAAAACAAAACCTGTTGGAAATAGAAGAACTCACTTTCATCTGCAGTACAACTATGTCGTTTAATAATTAATATCGGGGTGATTGTTGATGCGCTCAGATAATATTTTGTATGAGGTAAATAAAAACGATGGAAACTTCCAGATGTCCTAGGCGTAAGATTTGTCAACAAGTTGGGCGACAAAAATGACCATAAAGTTGAATACTTAGGTAAATCAAAGTGTATGCGTTCACTTGTTTTACTGAATGTATCCACGTAGATCGTCATCTATATATATTGATATAGAAAAGTAAATAATAATGCTTCATTAATACTAAAACACATCAAGTATGATAGTTGGGTAGCTCTATATACAAAGCTAACCTGATCCGTTCATAAGGTCACAGAATTCATAATATTTACGCATTATGGAAGAGGGGTTCAACACTCTGAAAAGGACTCTCCTTTAAAACATGGCTTCCCAGAACTCTTCATTGCAAAATCCATAAAGTCTAAACCACGAAAACCGCCCAAAATTCCTACCCGTAAAACACTTCTCTATATGAATCTACAATTCAATGGAAACTCATCGGCAGATTTCGCTGAGAAACCGCCTGTCCCACTCACTGAAGAAAACCTTTTTCGCAGTTGAACTTCGACTAACTTCCTGCACAAAACCGATGATTTGCATGAAGGTATAAGATAAGCTACCACTGGTGGCCTCATCAGTGTGTATCTATCAATTCACCTGCTCACGTGAAACTAGATATGCCGGCCGTACCCAGTGTTTGCTATCCAGACGTTTCATCAAATACTTATCCTCAAGGTTTTATAAAGGAGAAAAAAGATCCTCCACAGTTCTAACCTGTAAAACATGGTCGAATCTGGAGATCAGGCTAACCGAAAAACCAACTTCAAAGTTATCTACGCTGGAATCTTGTTAAATGAGTACGAATCAAACTTCTTCAAACTGCAGAAGCAATGGCAATTCACATGTTAAATCCCGAACTTGGGGTACAGAAGAAGTTTGTTCAGTCATTAAATCTACACTGGACTTGATCCATCTTAACATCGAACACCAAATGTTTGTTATTTTGTCTTCTTTAATTCTATTATTTTATTTTCTCACCTCCGATCAAATTTCTACCCTTACCACTACTGTTGTAGACCTGACTCTCGATCAGTTTTGCTTGAATTCCACTCAATACCGTCAACGATATTGCGTCACTCAATTAATAGCCTTATTTTATTTTAGTTTCTACCCGATTAGCGCTTTTTTATATTACGTAATTTGTTATCTAAAATGAACAGCTGTAGTGACACATCTCTGGAAATAACCCTTTGCTTGCTAAAAAAATTTATTATGTATGTACAGTTGTACAGCCTGAAAATGATATCGCTGCAAAGCATAACTATTTACTGAACTTCTTTTCTTTTATCTGATATGATGGAACATACCGACGGAAGGTGAGGTATCAGCCGGAAATGTTACTAAAACTGGGACTAAGCATCCATCGTGTCAAGCACCACATCACACAGCTATCTTCTGGAGATATTGTACGCTCGTTATCATTCATTCACTACTAATTAGTACAGAATTGTAGTTCCTCATTGAAAGAAACTGAATTCTGGTTCTAGGTACTAACAACTACGTAACATCAAAACTAAGTTCCAGTTTATTGTCAAAGTCTTTATCATCATAATAACCTCTTTGACAAAAGATTTCATCTATTAAAAGTAACCATAATGAATTAAAGATATTAACAAGGTGTGCACAATGCTTGTCGTTATTAAACAACCTAAATAAGGTATCAAAAGAGAGCTTCACATCAAAACCCACCCCCCCAGTCATGAAAACAGTTTGTGGTCAATAAGGTAGGGGGGTATATAAGCAAACAAAAAGTGTATTCTGAATGATACTCAAATTTCACTAAACATAATCACAACACGTGTTTTTTTGGTTCTTTTCAATCTCAAGTCGTTATAAATATGTATTCAACGAAAGATGGTTAAAACACGCGTACTTGTGTTATGTGTATAGGATGGTGAATGAGAACATGAATGTGAATCAATAAGGTGTATGCCCCTAACTTTGCCTCATGGTTTTTTTTGAGAATCTGACCAAGCCACCTACGCTTTTCACGTTTGTTGTGTATTTTTTGGTGTTGTTATTATTTTTTTTCTGTAGGAGTACTTGCATTGTGTAAACAAAACACAATTTCTAATCTCACTTGATGTTGATAATGGAGAAAAAAGAAATACACACTCATTATTACTATTAGTATTATTATCATTATTCCTTAAAAAGAAAGGGAGAAGTCCTTTAAAGCAACATAATGAAACAATAATTGTTTGAAGTGAAACAAAAATTTACAGGAGAACACAAAGTAGTTTTCTAAATGTTACAGGAATGTTCCATTCGACTTCACTATTGAAATTAAGTTATTTGTTTTGGGCAATATACGAGGGTCTGGTGAACTAAACAGTTAACATGTGTTTGTATCTCTCCAATTTACAAAAGCATAAAATATCGATTAAAGTGACTCATAACTATTTAAACATTTCATTAATTAAAATGTATCCTTCCAAGGTGATTTCGTTATTGTTTCAAGGATAGCATAACATTAGATGATTGGATACAATCGTCAGGAAGCCTTGGACCTAGGTTTCGTACTAGTTGGCACTCACCAGTCACCAAGGCGTATCTGCAACCTTGAAGGAACTCATGTCCCTTCTGAAATTCGAACCTGCCTCATCCAGTGCTGCAGTCAGAGACGTTACCACTGAGGTATCCTGGCTCGTGACTGATCTCCTGTCCGACTGCATTGAATCTTTTTGATTGAACACTAGTCAGTGACTAGTATAATGTGTCTAGTCCTCTGATTGGTGTAAACTGATTTCTATCAGTCAAGTTTGCAATATGGCTACCATGCTAGGTGACTCGCTGTCATAGTGCACTATGAATTGCTGATATAAGACGCTGTTTGATATTTTGATCGAATCCGCCTTGTTGACGAGTGCCAAGAAGCACCAAACCTATGTCCAAGGCTTCCTGCCGATTGCCTCCAACCACCTAATACCAACAATTGATAGTTCACCTTGATGGCGAGCAACCTAGCAGGGTAGCCACATTGCAAACATGACTGACAGATTTCAGTCTGCACCAAGCATGGGACTAGACACATTGCACTAGTTACTAGTGTCAATTCAAAATATCCACTGCAGTCCTACAGGAGGCCAATCGCGAGTCGGAATAGCTCAGCGGTAACGTCTCTAACTGTAGTACTGGATGACGCGGGTTCGAATCTCAGAAGGGACATGAGTCCTTTCAAGATTGCAGGTACGCCTTGGTGACTGGTGAGTGCCAACTAGTACGAAACCTAGGTCCAAGGCTTCTTGACGATTGCCTCCAACCATCTTATACCATCAAATTAATGTGCACCATGATGGTGAGCTAGCTAGAATGGTAGTCACATTACAACCTGACTGATAGAATTCAGTCTACACCAATCAGAGGACTAGACGCATCACACTAGTTACTAGTATCAAATCAAGATAGTAAAACGTGCCAAAAGTAACAGTTCTTCATTCTAGATTTTCAATGAGCAATAGTTGTAGTATTGATGAGTGAAGTACTTCTGGGTATATTTAAAGGAGAACATAACTTTTCTAAAGGTTTTACAGAAGTAACAAGTCTATTGGTCGTCATTTTTGATACAAAAAGGCGAAAGTGTGAACCGAATTTCAAATCAACCTAGAAAATAGATAGACCAATAGCCCTATTTATACTTCTGATAATCTACTCAATTCAAATTGTTGACAGTTTCAGAAATGTGCAAACGTTTGCTCAACTGTTATTAACTTGAAGCGATATGTGAAATAATCGTTAGGCAGAGTCTCCTAACATCCTAAGAACCCCAGTAATACAACCAAACAAAATACTTCCCATAACACTCCAATACAATCAGAAAAGACATCGACTACAACTGTTAAGCATGTCCACCAGACAGTAAAGTTAAAAGCAATATAAATTTATCCGCTATAACTAAATAAGTAACGGCAGAAGAAAAGAGAAATGATAACGGTTTTTTATTAAGGAAAAACGCATCGTATTTATATATTCTAAGGACATTAAAAGTCAGCGGAAAGAAGCTGTTCTGATTGATTGGCGATTGGCCCATGGTTAATACGACGGGACAAAAAGATGTCCAATGAGATTATTTCCAAACTATAACGTAAACTAAATCCAGATTTGATGTATAAACACTTTTATCCTCGCTGACACTATCTTAAAGTGTTGATTTCAATTTTCGGCCTGTTTCTATCATTCCTGAATCTATATAGTACAAGCCACAAAAATATACTAACAAACTAGTCTCTCAGTTCATTGTACCCTAGATATAACTTAATGCACTGGATATCTATACACACCATCAAAGTTTGGACCTATCATGTTCTAGAATATACAAAATTTTGATATTAACACAAATGACCCACATACACACAAAAAGGATAGAAGATACAACTATTTAGACTACGGCGTGATATAAACATTTAAGCAAAATTAAATTAATCAATGAAATAAAACTTTTCGGACATCTAAAGTTAGCTTAACATTTTAGAAGTTCAACACACAAATATTGACTAATTAAATCAGTTAAAATTGTAAAGATAGACAGATTTCCTAGAAGTGGCGCAACGATTTGAAATATAGTTACTCTGAAGTGGATATATATAAATCATGCTTACAACGGCTCTAACTGCAGCAGCATAATTTGCTGTTAAGTTTACGTAGCGATAAGGGTAATATCTTTTGTATGTGGATATTTCGACACTAAACTGTTAATTGGAAAAATCATCTTGAAGGGTTTGTTTGAACGAATTCAAAGTTTCCGTCAGGCTGTAGCAATAAATGTTGTCTGATAGTCGTATATCTATGCGATGGGTGTCAAAGTTAAACATATAACATTGACCTCTCATAATTTTCTGCTACTATATTTATGTATATGGTTCATTGTATTCGATATTGATTGGTTTTTACTCGTATGCCAGTGGTACTAATTCAAACTGGAGTATGCTAATATAATCGCTCGCTGCTTCGAATTCAACAGCGATTTATTCATATTTATTCTTTGCAACTTAATTAATACTCCAATTAGATGATTTTTTATCAATCCAGAGATTTAAACAAGGCATTACGGGGTGCCATCGACAATTATACATCTCATCCAACAGTTATACGACAATGCTGCATGACAAGTAATCCACAACGGGAAACTTACGGAAGCCTTCGAAGTGAGGACGGGAGTGAAGTAAGGCTGGCTGCATACTATCGCCAATGATCGTCCTGATTGCGCTAGATTGGATAATGCGACAGACAACGGGCAATAAGGAAACAGGCATAAAATGGACTCACACAAAATCAACTTGGAGGATCTGGACTTCGCCGATGATATATGTCTGATTTCTCACAAACTGGAAGATATGCAAGTGAAAATCAACAAGCTGGCGATAGAAGAAGCATCACAGATAGGACCTCCTTCAAGTGAACATAGATAAAACAGAGGTAGGTGATGAAGATTCCTGGCCAACAGCAACAGAAACAACAACAACAGACAACAATCAACCAGCATAAGTGGGAGGAACCTGAAAGAAACAACCCCTTTTAACCTACCTACCTACCTGGGAAGCATCGTTTCAACTACAGGCGGAACTAACGAGGATATCAACGCCAGAATCGGAAAAGCAAGACAAGCTTTCATTACTCTGTGTGGAGGTCAACAGCACTCAGCATCAAAAATAAGATCCGGATCTTCAACTCCAATGTGAAGTCAGTCAGTGCTACTATACGGATCAGAGACTTGGCCAGCGCGTCATAAAGAGCATCCCAAACAAACTTCAGACCTTCATTAACAGTTGTCTTCTCTCAATACTCAAGATCAGATGGCAGGCCAGAAAAGATCAGAAACAGGAGTCTCTGGCAATGAGCGAACCTACCCAGCAGGAACCGATTGTGAAACAAATAGGCAGGAAGAAATGGAGATGGATTGGCTGGCCATACGCTGAGGAAACCATCAAGTGACATCACTAGACAAGCCGTCGCTCGAGTGGAACCCGAAAGCGAAGCGATGAGTTGGTCGTCAGTGCAAGGCTGATTTGGAGGAGGTCATGTGAAGCGGAGATGAAAGCATGTGGGCAGACTTGGAGAGGGCTGAAAAAGTTGGCAGAAAAGCGAAGGCATTGGAGATGTGCAGCTGAAGCCCTATGTTCCTTTAGGAATTGAAGTATATAATAATAATATAATAAATTAAGAAGACAACTGTTGCGAGATGTAATATCATTTCGAAGCTCCCCTACAATATCACAACTATTGCATCGGTTGCAAAGAAACACATGATAACTAATGAGTTGTATGAATAAAGGGGAGTATTATTAATCAACTGTAGTTTAATAGGTCAATTAGTCCAATATAGACAAAGGCTGAAGTCTTTTATTTTCTGTACAGACAGTTTGGGATGCATATGATTAATTCAAAGTGCTTCCATCACCTTTTGATAACCTTGAATTAAAGCTGCGTCAAATACAATTGAGTAACGGTCACTGATATTCAGTTTGTAACCATAAATTAATAGATATTTTGCGACAGATGGATACTGGACTTCTACTCAGATTGAGTAAATTTGGATTTTCTGTAACTTACTATCCACTTAAGAAAATGTTCTTTTAAGTAGATTCGTTTCAATGCGCCCAGTAAATTTCATGGTGTTTTCGATATCTTCATAACTTCTACGAAGTCACCCTTATTAGCCTTCAAAATAACTATGCTTTTATCATTTTGAGATTCAATAGAGCCAGTCTTTTTGATTTAGTTATAGAAGGCTTTGCTTTGATAATAAACATTGCGTTTGGATCATCCCAATTACTGTCTTATCGACTGGAATTAGTGCTTCCTATTTGATTAGGAATTACACCCTAGAGACAAAAATGGAAGTTTTCCAAGAATTATCCCTTAACTTTCTTATGAACGTGATTTTTAAATTTAATTATCAGTCATACAGCTAAGCAGTAGCAATATACCGTCTACTGAGTGTCATACTGACAGATTTCTTCTTCGCCCACTGAAAAAGATTATTAGCAAATCTGTAATTTACTGTCAACAACGTGTGGATAAGTTCACATACTCATGTGGAAATAAATTAGACTTGTGGTAATTGCTAATACCAAACAAGTTACACTTAGCAGAAAAATCCACTTGTAATAACGAACTCCAAGGTAAACTGTTTCCTTGTGCGTTCTTAGAAAAGATAAGCTACTGCGACAAGGAGAAATTCACATGAGAAAACTACTTGGGGGAGGAAATACACAAATTTTCTTGTTTTCAATCCTTCCAGAGGAAAATTAATCTGATAAAGATACATATTTATGGTGTGAGAGGTATTATGTTAAGATATGTGTGGTTTGACCAAATGAAACTAGCTACTCAAAAAAGTTAATAAAGTAGTATATCCGACTACGAAAGTAAGACAGATGCGTATTGCCTCTGTGAACAGATACATGAACGCATAACCTCCTAGTGCAAGTTTATCTCCCAAATATTATTGGTAACATTTATTCATGTGAAATTTATAATCATAAGAAATAAAATAAATTTAAAACGTTATTACTTGTCAGTTATAGCAACTTACTCTCCAAAAGCACTTCTTAAGGTAACTGACAAAATAATCTAGTGATACATTTATGCATGTTACCTCATGTACACACGTTTCGACCTCTGTTCTAATTATTTAATTAACAATTGATATTATCATTCTCATATAACTTTCTTTGCATATAACTTGTTGATTCTGTTATTTTAATGGTTTATTGTTATAAAATAAAAACATCAGTCTTATTCACAACAATTATATTTTATTTTTTTATTTTTGATTTACAGCTTGATTCCACACTGTGTTTTTGGTACAAGTATGGAATTTTCAGCATGGATATCGGTAGCCCAAATTTTGCAGGCCGCCCATAGATATCAGGTGTGCGTCGGCAGGGGATCGAACCTCGGATCATGTGCATGGTCGGCGAGAGTCCTAACCACTGTGCCAAATAATATGGATATTTCACTATACAACCATATTGTCAAGGCAAAAGTTATCTATATGAGCATGTTCTTCATCCGCTTAATCAGTCTTTCAATTTAAAATATAGATTTACAAACCTGAAATGACACATCTAATCATCAATAATACTTAAAATACAAGTTCATTCTATTTTCAGTACCATTTATTTGTGTTGTGTAGTTGGGTTCCTTTAAGAAGAAACAATTAAACAAACGTAACAGTGAAGAAAATCTTCTGTACAATGAATCACACGCAAGAGCTATACACTGGTATTTATATTTAACAAGGAATTTATAAACCAACCAGATACTAGTAGCCATTTTCTAGACAATGTATTACACGATGTGAGGTGCAAATCTAGCCACCTTGGGAATTATATTCTTCAGTAGACAGTCAATCCAGTCACATGTTAAGGATAAGATTTAGACACCTCAAGGTGTATGCATTTATCAATTTACGTGTTCCTGTGGAGTATATCGGCCACACGCACACACAAAGTCAGTTCCACCAACATACTCTGGAACGCTGTCCAGCCTGGCTAGCTAGAGGAAACAAAAAAGGAATGCCAGTAATTTTATCCTTGAAAACTCCTTGTCAACTCTGGATATATGGTACCCTTACAGGATTGCTTCACAGTGGTACCCAAAGTTCCTCAATATTGCGTGAAAAGGCTTCGAATACACTATTTATGCATAGCCGAATCCATGACTGTTCGTGACCTGAAACGAAACCTCTACCTTCAAAAGCCTAACAGGCAACCACTTGCCTTACCGTGGGGTCAGGGTAACATTCTTGTCATAATTTTGTTTCACAGTGTTTTAGATTATTATTATTATCATCATTTCATAATAATTATTATTTATTATGACTGTAGTGGTGTGATACAGACAAAGTGTTCCAACGCAATATTATTTTCTCAGTAAGAATCCTTTTATTTGTTGATGTTAACATCTGAATATTATACCTACAGGCTAATACTGCACCGTATTTGTCTGAATCAGCAACAGAATATTACATATATTTGAACATTCTGTTTCATGTCGTTTAATGTAAACAAAAATAACACGCTCAGTGATTGGCCAAAAGAACATAAATTGTGTGTATAAATAGTGCCTTCATCAATTGAAAATACACATTAAATTCCGTTTCTTGCCTTCTGCTATTACATTACTATTGTTTACTATTATTGTATATAGGCAACACTGCATTGTTCATACAGACTTTATATAAACAGTCTACTGTATTGTCATTAGCTCTTTTCCATACAGATTGATTAGACATTTTTCACACTTATTACATAATTCCAACTTCCGTTTCTTTTTTCTAATCTCCACTTAGTCATCCCCATCTAGGATACAACCTCACATTATTATTTTATTCCTTTACGTTTTTAGTGAAACATTGAGATTCAAGCTAGAGCTTTGAAGTTTCAGTGGCAGTGGTGCCTTCTTTTTACGGGATGAGGTTGCTAACTTCATCTTCAACCTTTCCTCTTCACCAGTCTTATTACTGGCTTAGTGAGGTAAAGAAGTGTGCGTCGGCCGGGAATCGAATCCCGGAACAACTGCGTGTTTGGCAAGCATCCTACAGCTGTGTCACCGACGCACTACACCTTACATTAGTAACACATTTTTCTAGAACACTGTTGCGAGTACTTGATTGGTTTTATAGGTCCTTTGTTGTACAGCTCTTGAAAATAATTCGTCGAGAAGAAACTTTACTTCATTATTAATGTCTCAATATGGGAATTTCTCATTCACATTAATCAAATAATAATTCATATTTATCATCTATAGACTCTGTAGCGCATACAAAAGAATTTTTTTTAAATCATGGAAAATTTTTAAAAAACATTCTTACTAAAACTTACACTGTTCCAAAATGGATCTGGACTAGATGAGACGACTAAATAAAATTTTGCCTTATACACTAACGAAGAGTTGACCAATTGTAAACTCTCTAAGATTGATAATGTAATCAGACCAGCAGCTATTGAATTTCCTGTTAAAGGATCAGGTATCCATGTGATGTATTTTGAAGTGATTTGAGTAATGAAGTCACTGTTGAAACAAATCCAACAAAAAAGATGACTAATACTATTGTAATCGACATTATTAGAGTAAACTTTTGAAATCTGAACAGATCCAGTAAAAAGTAGAGAAGTAGACATTAATAAAATGGATGCTAACATTAATGAGTGGTGGTTTACTTAACCAAGCCACTTATCTGCACTTCTAAGAGGCAAAGAAAACAGATTACCGATGTCAAAAATCACAGATAAAAAGGGGGGAAGAGTTGTAAACTTAGATAGCTTATGTCACAATCAACATGACGATTAAGCATAAATAAGCATGCGTCACTGAATTCAATAATGAGCTTTATCATATGTTTACGTGGAGGTCGAATAACTAACTCACACATTCCTACACAGCTGTAACTAACAGTTAATAACTTCGATTGGACACTAGTCAGTAATTAGTGCAATGTGTCTAGTCCCATGCTTGGTGCAGACTGAAATCTGTCAGTCATGTTTGCAATGTGGCTGCCCTGCTAGGTTGCTCGCCATCAAGGTGAACTATCAATTGTTGGTATTAGGTGGTTGGAGGCAATCGGCAGGAAGCCTTGGACATAGGTTTGGTGCTTCTTGGCACTCGTCAACAAGGCGGATTCGATCAAAATATCAAACAGCGTCTTATATCAGCAATTCATAGTGCACTATGACAGTGAGTCACCTAGCATGGTAGCCATATTGCAAACTTGACTGATAGAAATCAGTTTACACCAATCAGAGGACTAGACACATTATACTAGTCACTGACTAGTGTTCAATCAAAAAGATTCAATGCAGTCGGACAGGAGATCAGTCACGAGCCAGGATACCTCAGTGGTAACGTCTCTGACTGCAGCACTGGATGAGGCAGGTTCGAATTTCAGAAGGGACATGAGTTCCTTCAAGGTTGCAGATACGCCTTGGTGACTGGTGAGTGCCAACTAGCACGAAACCTAGGTCCAAGGCTTCCTGACGATTGTATCCAGCCATCTTATACTAACAGTTAATAACTTCATCAACTGGCATCTCATTGATTTCACCATATTTTTCTTCCAACCTGAACTTACGTCCCTTGGCATTACATCTGGCAGGCTGTTTGAATCAGTGGACTAACTTAATTTCCATTCAACACAATGTATCATATTTTCTTTAGCTCTTATTATTCTAAGGATCCAGTTATGTCTTTGAGTCGCAAAATGTATTCACGAATATGTTTAGTTGACTTCCAAACTACCCGTATGTATTTCTTGTGGACAAAGGAAAAATATCATAAGGATTTAGTCCACACTTTTTAGATCGAATTGTATTGCATCGCTTGTAATACTATAGATTCCTATTTTACTTGAAGATTCTGAAGGAGGAGAAAATACTCTGCAATAAATAAAGCTGGGAATTTGATACATTGTGTAAACATTTTGTCAAGAATAAAACTATTATTATATCATAATTATTTTGAGGCAGATGAAGAACAGACGAGCTATCTTAAACTATAACAGTTAATATCTGTCTCGAAATACCTAAAGATGAACATCTAACTTCTATACTGATTATACAGTACTTTCAGCAGACACTGTGATAGTGAAAGACTTAAGGCCTCCTATCAAATGTACAGCTTACACATCTAGAGAACAGAGTTAATTTAAAGAGTTAGTCACAAGTTGATATATGAGATGATGGTATCAAGTTAGTAGTGCTGACAAAAGTTTGAATAATTTCCACCAACAGCTAAACAAAAGTGATCGAATCTGATAGTGCTAGAACAGCACTGTAGTTCACTGTACAAATCCTTACTAAGATAGTATTGGTCAAGCTGTCACACTTCGAAACATCATACATAAAGATAGTATTGTGCAACTCAATACAACTACAATAGACGACAATGTACGAGGGAAACAATGAATAAACGAAGGTTACTGAACATTTTTAGAATCTGCATGATAATGCGGAGGGAATACATCTGCGTCATTGTGAATGATTTTGAATAAGGTTATACAACATGTTCAACTGTTGACTCTTAGCATTCCAAGTACTCCAATTAGTTGGACCATAGATTTATACGCCGCATAAACCGACAACTATTAACATCACAGTATAGGGTGGTGTTGTATTCCCACCCTTGACGTTTTTTTTCCTTCACGTTCCAAGTGGAACATAGGGCTTCAAGCTAGAAGGCTTGAAGTTTCTGTAGCAGTGTTTATTTTTGCAGGATGAGGTTGCTAGCCTCATGCCCAACCTTCCCTCTTTACCAATCTTATTACTGGCTTATTGAGGTAAAGGAGTGCGTCGGCCTGGGATCAAACCCCTGACCGTGTGCATGGTCGGCGAGTGTGCTAACCGCTATGCCACCGACGCACCAAAGCCTCACGAGCCTGCCAGGACGTTTTACCAACATATTATTACTTCAACTAGCATTCCATCCCGAGCATAGGCACAAGTTAACATGCATAAAGCCTCTTCTATCCACTTGGTTTTATAGAATTTCATAAACTCATTCATTGTATGACTCCCCCCCCCTGAATGCCTAACACTTACTAGAACATCACTAGAGCATCATCTCACAATGTGCAACTTGATGTAAGCAGCTGAATGAAAGCAAGCACATATGATCGATTGTGTCTTCAACCACGTAGAACCATAACAACACATATCATATTCTCGCTTTACAGTTCAGTCATCATCATATTCTAGATATAACCTTGGCCTAGTGCATTTTGCACACATCTTATCAACTGGTGAACATGAATTTAAAGAATCAAATACTTAAATTTGACAGATGCATTTATACACGCAAATAACCACAACCAATGATACTTATGTTATGTGAACAATGGGTGTGTGTGTGTGTGTTTGTGACTCACCAGTGTTTTTCATTACCACTGTTTGTCTCAATACATAAATGAAGCCAATTGTATGGTGCCTATGCATTGACAAAAGAAAGAAAAGAAATGATGGTTAGTTTGAATAATTTAATTTACCACTGAATGAAAATAAGACTAGGTTACCATAGTGTTTTTCCAATGCAAATTTCATGCACCAACAGAGTGCATTAAAAATTAGATTTTGGACAATATTCATTTTAATAATGAGTAAGTGGAAACACAATAACAATCAAACATGTTTTCTCAATTCTAAAGCAAATTCGATCACATCAACTAGTTAACAGTCAGTTGATTTGTACAGTCAGAACACAATTCTGGTTGGTCGTGGAATATGTATTTGCAATTTGATATTCACAAATAGGGATATCATGTATACTATATATCGTCATTTGTACAGATCTGTGTTGTGTGCTACTTCTACAATTCGTATTGTCTTTCTTTGTCTTCTTTTTGTGTCTAGCGTGTTTCGTAGCTCATTTCCTCACTTTGACATCAAATCTATCTCTCTGCCATTTGATATTTTTGTGCCGATGAACGTCTCATTATACACTATAAGATAAATCTTAGTAGCAAACGCCACACCCTTACCAAATTTACGTCTAAGGAAAGTTTTCTGCGTTAAGGTGGATTAGTAAGCGTACATTTCTGATGATTGTTGAGATGTAGTTCATTAGATCAAGTATTTGAATTTCCCCCAATGTATCCTAGATTCCCATCTCACTCCATCTACTTTAACCTAGGCAACTGCGTAGTATCAACAGCCCACAGCATCGCACATCTAAGTCCGTTCCGGTTAACTTACTTGTGATGAGATCTGCTGTAGACAGGACAAGCAAATTCATTTTTTTCTGCGTAATTGTTATGTACTCGTCGCTAAATTATTGTTATGGACTGGTCGAGAAACTAATAGTCCTGACGCAAAAAGGCGGAAATCAGAAGACCACTAGGTTTGCGATGATACTTCTATTGTCCAAACACAAGGAGACGAAAATAAAATGGTCTCACACCAAAGTGGTAAGTAAGTAAAGTAGTTCACACAAATTGTGAATGCGAATATATATAAATGTTCCAGACAAAGCGTGGGAAAAATCATTAGACAGTCTTAACATGAATGGCTAATTATAATGGAGTGTCGATCCAAATATACATAGCGAATATAGCAGACATGTGAACAACCATATATGGATATATGTCACCAAGCAACGGAATGTCAACAAACACTCATATTATATATGTGCGTCGGTGGCACAGTGGTTAGGACTCTCGCCGACCATGCACATGGTCCGGGGTTCGAGCCCGCACCGGCGCACACCTGATATCTATGGTCGGCCTGCGAAATTTGGGCTACCGATATCCATGCTGAAAATTCCATACTTGTACCGAAAATACAGTGTGGAATCAAGCTGTAAATCAAAAATCAAAATTAAAAAAAAAATCAAAAATCAAAAAAATAATATAATATAAGGAGAATATACATTGATAAAGGAGACAAGTTCACACAAGTGAAATGGTCACAGACTAAGCGAGCAAACAGAAAGAGAGACCAACATACACACACACATAAATATATATATGTGGATACATATCAGTAATGTCTCATTCTCCTTATAAGCAAAATTTGGTAGTTCACAAAAGCACAATCTGTGAATATTAGTTAACAATACGATCTTCAGTAAAAGTTTCATTGACCTTATTTAGTGTTTTTTCTTACGTTTCCAGTGCAACACAGGGTTTTCAGCTTTGAAGTTTTAATAGCTATAGTGTTTTTTAACGGAGTGTAGTTATGTGCCTCACAGTCAACCTTCTTTCATTCTCGAACTCACTACAGGTGACGTCTAGGAGTCAGCCAGCCAGCAATCTGAATTGAAATTCCCGCGTGACTGGCTACCATCCTACCAATGAACCACCACCGACTCACAATCCGCTAACATTACTTGCACTAATTTGTTAAAAACCATTTTTCTACTAAAATTCCACACTAACTGTACCCGTCGTAGACAATTATAATACTTCCTATTCAAAATCCGGTTAATTAGACAAGTTTACATAGAAGCGCATCAGTAGAATACAAATCCTACTAAATTAAAAGAGGCGCCTCCAGGGAATAACATTAAGTACTTATAACTGAAGCATCTCAGTTTGCACTATAAAGTCATCTCAATCACTCAGCAGTCAAGTGCATTTCTGTGTACTTGACAATACGTTCCAACTACATTTTAGGAGTTCAGAATACTAACTGGTTTATTAAACTAGATTAGCTAGAACTAGGTCCGATTTTATGTCTCACGGTTTGAAAGATGAGCAAGTAAATAGTTAAGCCATGGAACCAAAAAACTTCGCTGATTAAAGAATATCCATTGACAGGATAATAATGGAAAAATTTAAAGGCCTTCGATGTGAAGAGCAATTTTTATTACGTTTACAATAAGAAAAAAAACACTGAGAGGACAGATTAACTCACATTAGAGACTAAGAGAAGAACAGATTGCTGTGGATCTTCAAAAAATGGACCAAGTTTTACTAACAAGCCGTTATAGGGCTAAAAAATGAACAGAGAAAGAGAGAATAAAATGTGAATAAAAAGGCAAATGAGGAACAAATGTAATAGAAATCCATACAACGTAACATAACAGTAAAAATGCAATGATAACGAAACTGGGGAAAACGAATTGATGCATACCTACAAAGTGTTGAGGCATACATGTTACACAGAATTCAATTGCATCATCTTTGATGCAGGCGAAATATCAGGCTAAAAGGTGAATGTAGTGCCTTCAGTGATGTTCTTATTTTCGGCTATGAAATATGAAGGGTTCAATCAAAATATGTGAAAAGATAACAGGTTTCAAAGGTATCTTTGTAATACAACTTGAGTGTATTAAACAGACAAAGTGGTTCATACAGATTCTTAGGACGGATAACAGGACACTCGATTCAGCGATGTGCAATTGTCGACTAAGACGGTTGAGACGCTGGTTTTCCAAAATAGAGACTTATTCAACAACTAAAGTCAACTGAAATAACGATCACTTGGGAAACGTTATCAACTGTCCATCCAAGATATGACATAAAACTGGTAAATCTAACTGCTAGTTTCATTCGTGTAGCGTACACTGGATAAGAGATTGCGAAAAATCAGAGGTTGGAAAACCTTTGCGTAACCAGGTGTTCTGTACAACGCGGCAGGTGTGTTCAATTTCCATATTCTTGAAAATTATGAACATTTTCAACTATCTTTAATTAGTCATTCTTTCTTCGGTACCACTAAACGCTTCTTCATCGTAGCATAACACCGTTCACTTATTTATTATGTGCTATTTCAAAACGGGGACCGTTTCCATCAACATAACATCAAGCAAGTTTTGTCACTGATTAATCTACTATTTATGCGTTTCACTTCTAAACAAATAGATATGTACGGTACGAGTTGTGTCTGAGGAAAATCCTAAATTTCTGTTCGTGTTTCTATTAGGTTTTCTCCCACTAGAAACTAGGAAATGGGTATTTGTAAAGAATAAATGGCAAACTTACAAGGATATAAAGGAAATTTTAAAAAGGAGAATCAAAAGTGGCATTTTCAAATAATGCTGGGAACTACGTGTTTTTGTCAAAATCAATCAGTATATTTTAAACCCAGTATGCATATACTTCGTCGGTGGCATAGCGGTTAGGACCATGCTCATGGTCCAGGATTCGATCCCCGGCCGACTCACTACCTTACTTCGCTAAGCCAGAAATAATGCTAGTAAAGAGGTAAGGTTGGGTTGGGCTAGCAATCCCATCCTGTAAAATTAAACACCGCTACAGAATCTTCAAGCTACTAGCTTGAGGCCCTATGTTCCACTGGGGAACGTGAAGGGGGAAAAATGCATATATTTTATTATTTGTGGGGGATAAAGATACTGAAATTATGAAAAAGAGAAGACGTTCAGCGAAGAGACTCTTTTCGGCGAATTCATTCACATAGCTGTACAATCGCATTTATATATAATTATTTGTGTGTGTGTGTGTACATGAGGTTTGTCAAAATTAGATAATTGATCAGGTAATAAAAGAATGATCTAATATAGAAACAAAGTTAATTGGACAGCAACTAAATTAAGATTGAGTTAGTAAGTTAGATGACGTAATACAATTGACTAAAATGTTTTAACTTAGGTCAGGTTAGCAACAGAGGTAATTACAGGTAGAGACTAAGTAGAAGTGGGGTAGATAATAATGCCATTTAGATTAGAAATGAAATTGAGCAATTAAGTTGGATGACGTAACATAAATGACTATAAATTGAGCGTTGGTCAGGTCAATTAAAGTGGTAGTGAGGTGTAGAAATTAAATCGGGTAGGGGTAGAGAACAAGAAAGTTGAAAATGCAAAATATTACAATTGAGAAGACAGAATAATACCAATGAAGAGAAAGAAAAAAATTAGGTAGAATTTACCTTTCAGGTAATAATGTAGGTTAAGTCCATTGTAAGTTTAGTGATTGAACGAACCTCTTCTGTATGCAGAGTTCAGGGCTTAGCAAGTGAATCGCCATTGCTTCTGCAGTTTGAAGAAGTCTGATTCGTACACCTTTTGGAAGACTACTTCTTACTCTGTAGACGACTTTGAAGTTTGTTTGGGGTGCAGCTTGGTGTCCGGATTCTATCAGGTGTTCTAAGATGGAGCTGCGGGGACATCGCTTTTCTCCTTTGTAAAACCATGCTGGTAAGTGTTCGGTGATACGCTTGGAAAGCGAACGCTGGGTACGGCCGACATACCTGGCTCCACACGAGCAGGTGAATTGGTAGATACACATTGATGAGGCCAACAGTGGTAGCTTATCCTTCACGTTCACATGAATCATAGGTTTTGTGGAGAAAGTTAGTCGTAGTTCAGCTGCGAAGAAAGTCTTCTTGAGTGAGCGCGACAGTCGATTTTTTAGTATTTCCGCAGATATATCTCCATTGAATTGAAGGTTTATGTAGAGCGGTTTCTTCGGGACGCTATGCGTGGGCGGCTTTTGTGGCCTAGGATTCATAGATTTTGCAATAAATCGTTCTGGGTAACAATTCTCGACGAGGATTCTCTTGAGATTGTCCAGTTCATCTTCTACGGTGTCCGGGGTACAAATTCTGCGAACTCTGTTGCTAAGTGAACGGATCAGGTTCCGTTTGGTGTATAGGGGTACCCAACTGTGGAAGTTAATCAGCTGTCCGTTCCATGTTGACTTTCTGTAGATAGATCTTTTCAGTGTTCCATCGTGTTCTCGTCTTGTTAGTTGGATGTCAAGAAAGGATATTTTAGAGTTGGACTCTTTCTCCAGCGTGAACTGAATTGCGGGGTGGCACTTGTTAAACGACTTCAGGATGTCGTCTAGATTCTCTTCATTGTTGACGATAATGAAAGTGTCGTCGACGTATCTCTTGTAGATTCCGAAGGTATCGATCATTTTCTTCATGCATGTGTTTTCGAGTTTTGCCATGAAGAAATCTGCAAGTAATGGGCCTAGTGGTGAGCCCATAGCTATACCATCCTTTTGGCGATATATTTCGTTGTTGAAAGAGAATTGAACATTCAGGGTACACCTCAGAAGGAGTTCTTTAAGACGCTCGGTGGGTATACCGATGTTTATTCCTTTGGAATCAATAAGTTCGCATACATAGCATATTGTTTCAGTCAGTGGAACATTTGTGAATAGTGATGTGACATCTAATGAGATCATGGTCCTGTTGGATACGTTGATGTTTTCAATTGAGTCGATAAAGTCGAATGAATCTCGAACTGTGTGGCAGGAAACTTGTCTTCTGATTGGTTCTAGTAGATCTGCTAGCCATTGGGCTGTGCGGTGATAAGGCGAATTGGTCATGTCAAGGATCGGTCGAAGAGGGATACCGTTCTTGTGTACTTTCGGAAGTCCATAGAGTCGTGGTATATTTGAGCCGGATGGTCTTATGGATTCAAACGTTTCGTTGCTGATGAAAGATTCAGTTTTTAGCTTACGGAGGGTGTCCGTTAGCTTTTGTTCGGTCTGTTCAGTCATGTTTTTCTCGTTGACCGGTTTTGTGAATTTACATTCATCGGATAGTATAGTCAGCATCTTACTGATATAGTCCTTACGATTCATGATAACGATTCCTCCGCCTTTATCAGGACGTAATATCATAATCTCTTCGTTTTTCATAAGTTCTTTCAGCTCCTTATAATGCCTCTTCGTCAAAATGGACCTTCCGTTGGGTTTGGTATTTATAAACTTGTGACAACTGTCGAGGATTGATGCTTTGAGTTGTTGTAGGTTTTCATCTGATGTGGGTGTGAGATCGTAGGTTTGGTTTATTAGATTTTCAAACTGAATCTGGCATTGTAGCTTGTCAATACATTGTGGTTTTACGCAGAATTTCGGACCTAGAGATAGTGCCTCTAGTTGGGTAGTAGATAGTGTGATGTCTGAAAGATTGAATACGTATTTTTCTGGATTGCTTGGGAACGGAGATTCGGTATTAATTGTAGGCTTTAGACTTTTGAGCAGATCTGCTTTAGTCTTGTTGCATTCTTTCTGAGTGACTTGTTGCACATATTCTTCGAAGGAATGGCGTAGATCTTGATCTAAGTCTTCGACTGCATGAGCTCTTGAGTAGACGTTTCGCTCTAGCTCGAACACGCGTGATTGAATGGAGTCGATGTTGTTTCGTGTGTGTCGTCTGAGTGTTCTGGTATTCGGTTGGATGTGGTTGCGTCTGAGTGACTTCCAATACATCTTTGGATACTCATGTCGATCTATACAATCTCTTAAGAAATCAACCTTTGTCTTCGCTACCGCAAGCTTGACGGAGTAACGCAGGAAACCATCCAGCTCCTTCACCGTCCCTGGGTCCTTGCAACGTTTGAGTATCTTGAAAATCCCCATTTAGTCATATGAAAAAGAGAAGACGTTCAGCGAAGAGACTCTTTTCGGCGAGAAAAACGATGTCCCCGCAGCTCCATCTTAGAACATCTGATAGAATCCGGACACCAAGCTGCACCCCAAACAAACTTCAAAGTAGTCTACAGAGTAAGAAGTAGTCTTCCCAAAGGTGTACGAATCAGACTTCTTCAAACTGCAGAAGCGATGGCGATTCACTTGCTAAGCCCTGAACTCTGCATACAGAAGAAGTTCGTTCAATCACTACACTTACAATGGACTTAATCTATCTTATTACCTGAAAAGTAAATTCTACCTAATCTTTTTCTTTCCCTTCATTGGTATTATTCTGTCTTCTTAATTGTAATATTTTGCATTTTCAACTTTCTCGTTCTCTACCCCCACCCGATTTAATTTCTACACCTGACCAACGCTCAATTTCTAGTCATTTATGTTACGTCATCCAACTTAATTGCTCAATTTCAGTTCTAATTTAAATGGCATTATTATCTACCCCACTTCTACTTAGTCTCTACTTGTAATTACCTCTGTTGCTACCCTGACCTAAGTTAAAACATTTTAGTCAATCATATTACGTCATCTAACTTACTAACTCAGTCTTACTTTAGTTGCTGTCCAATTAACCTTGTTTCTATATTAGATCATTCTTTTATTACCTGATCAATTATCTAATTTTGACAAACCTCATGTAACACACACACACACACACAAATAATTATATATAAATGCGATTGTACAGCTTTGTGAATGAATTCGCTGAAAAGAGTCTCTTCGCTGAACGTCTTCTCTTTTTCATATGACTAAATGGGGATTTTCAAAATACTGGAATTATACAAATTTGACTTCACAAAACTGATACATTTTCCAACTCCTTTACAAAATGTTGACTGGGAGTGAAGGTATGATGACTGGCCTATGAAGCAGACAAATAAACATAGGAACCTTCGCACAAAAGTAGTGATACAAACGACAACAAATTCAGATTGTCAAACAAATTTTTAACCACTTCAAGTTTATCATCTAACTACTTAGAAATGATGATAAATGAATAATACACTAAAAGTGTTTGTCGGTACTTCTGTAGATGATTTCAATGTATCACAAAAGCAGGTAACTAACTATCAGTGCCGTACAAGATAAAGACGATTCCCACAACGGTTGACCAATGGAAAAAGAGTGCAGCAGGTCGGGTGTGAGGACAAATACTCGCCGAAGAAATTGGCTAGCGGTTGCGCTATATCGTGAATTGGCAGAAGTTAGAATTCATGGGCCATTCGATTGGGTGCCAGTGGCTTAGTGGTATACGAGCTCGCCTTGTAACCGGAAGGTCCTGGGTTCGGATCCTGAGAGTGGGTGCGTACCGATGAAGAGTCCCAAACTAGGAGGAAACAGCTGTCCAGTACTCCCTGGTGGTTTTCCAATGGTTCTCTAGCTGATGTCAGCTGATGATGAAATCCTGTAAACAATCAACCAAATCCCTACAAACCAATACTTGAAATAAGAATAGTTCAGAAGAGTAGTGAGTGAAAACAGTAATAACTACAATGTAGAAAAAAGGTGGGATGTAGTGAATTTAAATGAATGTACAAGTTAAAGTATTTCCCGACTATTGTATGTCGCAGAAACTCTCCTGTTTTTAAACAGCCCATGCCTCACACAAAGTGTTCATTTTCCTTAATTGCCTTTACAGTCCAGCCCCTTTAAACTGTATTCAATTTGTTTCTCACCGAAAAACTTACACTTTAACATGTCTGCGAAATTTTCAGATTCAAACAACCAGACGTCAACTAGATGCAAGAAAATAAAGCCAAAATTGTCCAATAGAGAAACAAGCAGCTAACCGACGTTCAACAGGAAAATAGATATTATTATTACTATTATTATGACTACAATTAGTCAGACATACTTACCAGATTAAATCGCATAATAGTATTTCTTTGATTAGTTTTATCCAACCATGACATATGTGATGGTATTAAGTATGAGGTTTTCGACCTCAAGGCCTCCAAATTGTTCACACCAACATCATTATTTAAGTCTGCATCCGTAATTAAAGGTTTGGTAATAAGTAGATTAGAAAAGGCATTTAGACGAAGAGTAGGATCATTTGGCATCTGGAAAAAAACAATACACTGTGTTATTTAAATGAGAAAATGGGAAAACGAAAACAATAATTCAAAATCTACGTCATTTAACAAATGCAGTCTAGAATTTTTTTGATTACAGCTTGATTCCACACCGTATTTTTTGGTACAGGTATGGAATTTTCAGCATGTGATATCGGTAGCCCAAATTTTGCAGGCCGACCATAGATATCGTGTGCGTCGGTAGAGGGTCGAACCCCGGACCATGTGTATGGTTAGCCAGAGTCCTAACCACTGTGCCACTGACGCACAACTAGTTGCTTTAACTTCACTGACTTTGAAAAAGCATTCGACAACATCAATCACGAAATAATTAAGAAACTGTCTAAACACTACGAAGTGACTGAAACTTTTATCATTCTTATCCAACAGATATATGATGGTGCTACATGTCCAGTTCTTCATAACGGAAAGCTCAGAGAGGCGTCTGAAATAAGGACAGGAGTAAGACAAAGCTGCCTACTATCCCCAATGACATCCAGGATCGTGGTGGACCGCATAACGCAACAGATCATAGGGAGTAACAAGACAGAAATACTCTCGGATAACAAGAAGATCTGGACTTTGCGGATGATTTGCGTATAACGTCACACAAACTCGAAGATCTACAAGCGAAAATCAACAAGGTGGCAGAAGAAGCAGAGAAAACAGGACTTCAAGTGAGCACAGAAAAGATTGATGATAAAGGTGACCTAACCGATAACAACAACAAGCGCCGATCAACTTTAATGGAAGAAATCTAAAGGAAGTCACCTCTTTCACTTACCTGACATGTTCTGAATTGTTTTAACTACAGGATTAGGATGTCAAAGACTGTATCGGAAAAGCTGTTCAGTATGATAACCATTTAGTCTGTCAAACATAGCCTGCACTACTCAATTCCTTTTAAGTAGTGTTGTAGACATATGTTAAAAAATACGTGCAAAATTAGCTTAGCCTGTCCAATAAGTAGTATCACAAATCGTTCGATAAACTGAACAAATATAGGCAGTGAAACGAATAAATATATGAAGCAAAGAATACGTTTGCTTAGTAGAAATTATTAGCTGATAAAAGATACATATGCAGATACACAGAAAAACAGTTTATCTGTCATCCAAGTGACTATTCATAAGTCATGCTGCCATAAAGTGAATGCATGCATTAAGCACCGATAAAGACTGACTAAAGTGACCAACAGTTGATAAATGTTTTAGGTGTAATAAGTCAATGGATTAGAACTGGGTATGAAATAACAGTGGTATGACTGATTTCTCGTGTTAGGTGGCATGATATGATATATGACAATGAGGTTAAGTGCATAGTGTTAGGTAAGCAGAGGAAGTCAATCGATGACATACCATAGATTGAAATGGCTGGGATAAGTGTTATGTGTGCCAAGCTATCACCGTCACTGACAAAAAATGCCAGCTGATATACACTTAGTTTGGAAAACAGTTATGGATAAACAAAACATGACATCAATCCTACATGTCTTTGACTATTGATTCGAGAAACACAGAGAAATGCAGACTGCCTGTCTGAAGTCCTCAGGATGCTAGAAATAAATGGTTGATAACTCTTGATGATATGATTCAAAATCATTTACAATTATACACCTTGTAACTTTCCAGATTTTGGAAATGTGCATAAATCTCCATGAATTTCAACTTCTTCCAATCCACAATATAACACAACCACTACCAAATGTCATTGGCGAGTATTTGTCCTTACACCCGACTTGCTTTAATCCACTGGTGACAACTTTTTACTTCTCCCAGGTTTTCCAATCGTTCGCTAACCGATGTCAGTTTGTGCTGAAATCCTGTAACCAATCAAATCAAATCCTTGCATACCAACACTTGAAGGCTCCTGTCAGTTGGTATCTGTTCATAGAATAAACAATTATAGATCATACCTGGAGATAAGCAGTTACTTCTGTATAATAATCCCATTTTCGAACGTCTTCTCTAATTTCCTTTACCTATTTGTATTTTTACTCTAGCCTTTCCATCACTGACTAGTAATTCACTTTATTTCGTAATTTTACACTTTTTTGTGCGATCAAAGTACATTAACTTGAATCAGTACAAGCTGATGACATTTTGCATTGCTCGTATCATCCTTCTGTTTATGTATCTTATTCTAAGAGGGTGTAGGGTTCAATATCTGACTAAGTATTTCGAATGATATTAAAAGGTATTAAATAAAAAAAAATTAACACAAAGTTTGAGAAAAGAGAGTAGTGAATTCAACATACCACGCCAAAATATCTGTAATAAGCACACTGATCTGAAAGTCTACACTACGATCAGGCCTATAGTATGTTTAACAAAATAAACGCTTTACAAATGATTCCTAATAATCATAACCACATCTTCGAGTAGATTTCAGCAAGTACTGAAATGGTAACGAAGAAATTACGGAAAATTCAAGAGTGCACTGTGTTTTGTGCTATAATAAACTAGGAGTCTTGGGTTTGTTAGGAAGTGAGCATTTAAATGATACTACTGGCTTTTCCATGCACTTGAAAATGAAGCCCACCTCTTATGTAGGAGTTTATGATATCACCCAGCTGTCTAACTTAGTGAATTAAGTCTGGAGTCACATTTAGGCTACTGCGTATTGATAAATGACCTCGACTTCGAAATTATTTGTCCAACTGCAAGAGTTTGACCTAGTAACTCACTGTTCGGGAATCAGACATCTAAGCCGTTTGAAAGATTATACGTTGAAACCCATTCAGGTAGACTATAGATCACTTTGGGAGCATATGATTATTTATAATTATAGTAAATTTCTATATAACTATGACTTTAAGGTTACACCCGTAAATCCCTGAATCACGATTAACGGATTTTAAGCGATAAAAATTTAGGAAATATACAGCAAAAGACAAAAAGGCTTAGGATTACAAAACTCTGAAAAATAGGTGTGTTGACTGAATAATTGCCCCATAGACAAAAAGATTACAAGAGTTGATTTAGTAAGTTACTGGAAAAAAAGGAAGAGTCTCTTCTCACTTATTTCATTTTATTTTTTGTTACTCCAATATAAACCCGTTTCGGTGGTCTCAGTTCTTAGTCAATACTCTTGACCTAATTATTTAACTTCTGCTCAACTTTCTCTTAATCCTGTCAAACTGTCTAAACTATTTGACTGTTATGTAACACGTGTAATTAATTCTATGCCTAATTACTGTCCAACTTCCTTACTGACTCTAGAATATTCTTGCAAGTTTTCTGTATATACCAACAAAATGACAAGCAATTGTAATTCTTTTGACTATTCATCGTATGCAATAAACTAATGGTAATGACTTTCAACTTCAAACAAATTAATTAAATTAAAAATCTCCTTAGTGTAATGGGAACAAGATGATTTTGGGTGAAAAACTGTTTTCGATAAACTCAAGTGTGAGTTTGCAGGGATTTGATTTGATTGGTAACAGGATTTCAGCCCGAGCTGATATCGGTTACAGAACCATTGTAAAAATTGGGAGAAGTGATAAGTCGTCACCAGCGGATTAAAGCAAGTCGGGTGTAAGGACAAATACTCGCCAATGACATTTGGTAGTGGTCGTCTTATATCGTGGATTGGAAGAAGTTGAAATTCATGGAGTGGCCACTGAATCGGTTCTCAGTGGCTTAATGTTCTGAGAGGTCGGCTAGTAACCAGAGCGCCCAGGGTTGATGGGTACTGCTGAAGCGTCCAAAACTAGGACGAGACGGCTATCCAGTACTCCCAGGTGTTCTAATGGTTCTTTAACCGATGTTAGCTCATGATGAAATCCTGTAAATAAATTAATGTTTGTGAATATTTTGTGCATAGACACTAAGACCGTTTTAGATGTTATGCAATTGGGAGGAACCGATGAGATATGATGAATAGCATATCATCCTGCTCAGTTATTGTTTTATTTCATTCACGTAATACCCTGCTTTATGAATTTGAATAAAACAAGAACAACAATTTGTGGCAAATAAGATGGTACCTTCATCACTTATTTTGTTGGCTTCTCATCATCTCCGTACAGTCTACATACAGAACATTTCTAAATAAACTCGCAAGTTTGACATGATGTCAGCTGACAGGATAGTCCAAACTTAGTAATCAATGCTCAGAAGTTACACTTACACAAATTATACCCAGAAAGTCTATGTTTACACAAAATAAATGCTGAGATATAATGGCAAAAGAGTTCCTCAATAGAGCTGAGAAGTGAATAAAGTGATGAGCAACTAATAAAATGAGTAACAATGAGTTGAGTTCAACTCAAATCATAGAAACAAGGGACAAGCAAAGTTACACTCCAGAGAAAGGGGGAGAGGCTAAAGCCAATCATTACGTAGTCGAGTGAGAGAGTAAAGATATCCAGTTACTGGGGCAAGAAAACATTGATAACCGCTTTTTTCTGAACACGTAAATGCGGTCTAAGGCGTTTCATAGCAACTGTTTCGATAAACTTGAAGAAAGAATTGAATTGTCTATATGATAATTGTCTGATGATAATTTCGAGGGACTTCAGGGTGACTACCTCCCACCCGTACGGATGAGCTGCCTGATAATGGCACTACTGTGAACTTATTTTCCACTGTGACTTGTGGGGGATTTGAACCTTCACATCTTTCGTACTTCTGACTTAATTTCTGAGGGGAACAGTTGGATCTCGACATCTCAAGAATCAGAAATTCTTCCTTTAATTCCCCGGTAGAGTATATTCTCCTGTTTCTTTAAAACAGAGTTTTGACCGGTGGTTATTTATAACTAATTTGAACAAAAACTATTAAAATGTAAATCTTGTCCATTCGATCTAGACTTTCGGTGAATTTATCTCTGAAAACAACCATCTTCCAGGCATTGCATGGCGATATCGAAGAAATGAGACTTCTTATCACTTTCTTGTCATATAATGAAGTCACTATTTGCATATGCGTCATTGCGTAGTCCAAGTAGATAGAACGCGAAACTTTCACTGTTGCATACAACAAGTGTGTCATCGACACATCGACAATAAGTTGTCTCGCGAATCGGAAGCTTCAATTATGTTCTCTCGAAATTTGACACAAAGATTTCTTCTAAAATAAAGCTTAGTAGGACTGCACACAGCTAAACTATCCATTTGATGGTAAACAGTATCATCAAAATGGAAATGTATATCCATAGTACACAATAGTAATAGGCATTTAAATTCCAATACTGGGAGTGGGAGAAGATCAGAATCCTGACACATAATATGAACAGTTGTATTAATTGGAATCTTTGTGAACAGAAGAGAGGTTACATCAAATGACACCATAAACTTACTGAAAATGTTAATGAAGTTCAGGCTTTCGGTGAAGCGGAATCAATTTTCGCTCCTATCTTTGAAGCATATTTTCACATTCACACTATGGGTACTGTTAATTCATCAATGATTTTTACTTTTGAACTATGTCAAAATACTACAAATTTGGAGTCTGTTTTGACCTAATATGAACACAATAAAGCTTGATCAATACAAGCCTACATGTATTGTCATCTATTCTTCTGATAATTGTGGTATCAGTGATATGTGTACTAAAACTACCAAGCACACATATGTAATAGACTGCACCAGCTATAAGACAGCTAATACTAATCTAATTTCTTCTAGCATTAACCAATTAACAATAAACTCAAGCTGCTGAAAATAATTAGGTCATCCACAAATGCACACACACACACACACAGATGAATGAATTAATTCAAAAGATACAAAAAATAATTGTGATCGAATGAAATTTCTAAAAGCATAACAGTATCACAACGAAAATAAACGAAAAGAAACAGAACTGGGAAAATAAACTAAAAAAGAAGTATTTTTAAAATGGAAAGATTAAAAGTAATATTAATATGAGGAGCACCTCGTACAGTTAACCAACTCGAATACAGACATAAGGAAACAATTCTACTTCTTATTGAATTGAAATTTTGATTTTCCCGTCGATTGATTGGACCGAAGTGCTCGGTCTCAGGTTTACATGTCGGCTTCTTGTGCAGATGCTTCGACGATGTCTGGGCATTTAGTTAGTATACAATTGGTGGATGGTGGCTAGCAGTGGAATCCAGGATGCGCATTTCGTCCTATTTGGGACTCGTCATCTGGATGTACCTGCATTTCTCAGTGAGTGATGATGTTCCCACTGAGGCTCGAACCCAGTACCCATAGTTTCAAACGCCAAAGCGCTATCCACTAGACCACTTGGGCCACGAGAGCCACCTCTTGTGCGACGGGTCATATTAATTATTGAATTGAAATTTTGATTTTCCCGTCGATTGATTGGACCGACATGTCAACCTGAGACCGAGCACTTCGGTCCAATCAATCGACGGGAAAATCAAAATTTCAATTCAATAATTAATATGACCCGTCGCACAAGAGGTGGCTCTCGTGGCCCAAGTGGTCTAGTGGATAGCGCTTTGGCGTTTGAAACTATGGGTACTGGGTTCGAGCCTCAGTGGGAACATCATCACTCACTGAGAAATGCAGGTACATCCAGCTGACGAGTCCCAAATAGGACGAAATGCGCATCCTGGATTCCACTGCTAGCCACCATCCACCAATTGTATACAATTCTACTTCTTAATCAAAACTTGGTTGTCCATAAAGCGGTTAATTGGTAATACTAATTTTTTTTCAAGTGTTGGTTTGTAGGGATTTGATTGGTTTCAGGATTTCATCATGAAATGACATTAGTTAGAGAACCATTGGAAAACCTGGGAGTACTGGACAGCTGTTTCGCCCTAGTTTGGGACTCTTCAGCAGTACGCAACCACCGGGATTCGAACCTAGGACCTTCCGGTTACAAGGCGAGCTCGTATATCGGTGGGTGCGTACTGCTGAAGAGACCCAAACTGCGACGAAACAGCTGTCCGGTACTCCCAGGTTTTCCAATGGTTCTCTAACTAATGTCAGCTCATGATGAAATCCTGAAACTAATTTTTTTATTACGGCTTGGCTCCACACAGTATTTTTGATACAAGTATAGAATTTTCAGCATGTGGTATCGGTAGCCCAAATTTAGCAGGCCTACCATTGGTATCGGGTGTATGTCGACCGGGGATTGAACCCCGGACCATGTGCATGGTCGGCCAGAGTACTAACCACTGTGCTATCGACACTCAACAACAATAAAATAGAAGATGTAGGATCATTAAAGAGAAAAGAATCCTTTAGCATAGCACACAAAAACTTGGTACGTCTGGCAACTTTTCTATGAATAAAACCAGTAGATGTCTGTGTGTGTGTGAGTATGTGAATAACCAAGCCAGTCAACAGGGTAGCAGTGATTTATATGCAATCGACATAATTTGTTTATCAAATGTATAGTAATCCGTTTAAACGAAAAACATGCACCATAACACAAAGTAGTAAAAACAGCATGACTTGTAATTTCTTGTTATTTCACCTCACAGAAGTGAAAAATTAACATATCTTGACAAGTAGACTTGTTAAACTGATATCTCAAAATTATCGTTCTTCTCATATCCATGAAATAGATAATGGTTGGTAGTGGCACTTAAGATTCATGTTGGTTCATTTTGGCCATGTGCAGAAGTATAACGGTGTTGTTATTAGGATCGCAGCTGAGAGAGGTCTGCAATAAAGAGTCAGATTCTTGGTTGTATTATCCTAGGCTTTCAAATGCAGAGTTTGATTGTGCTACAGGCACAAACCAGGAGACTCACATTTCGTTACGCAACAAACACACACACACCAAGACTGATTCCAATTTAGTCCACTGAGTATTGGATCAAAGGGATATAATGATGAATATGCGAAACTTGACGGTTCCACTACATAAAGCCGATACAGTCAAGACAATGTTGGTCTAGTACCAGTTCTGCTTCCAGGGTGTCAGGAATGAAGATGCGTCGGATCCGAATAGCAAGGGATTTAATTAGATTTCGTTCTCGTTAGCAATTCAGTATGGAAAACCAGACTTAAGTATACAAAAAAAAATCGCTCAACCACTTCTACTATCATAGCAACAACTACGTTGATTTCTACTCACTTGATGTTTGTGTGCCTGCTTTTCTAACTCCTCACAACTCTCGCATAATTCCGTGTTTTCCTTCATTTTTATGTTCATTCTAATCAAAGCTCATCAAGCTATTCATCTTGTTGCGTAACTACAATACACTTATTGAACCTCACTTATGTAGGGACTAATATTTACAACTATTTTTGACAACTCATCACCACTGCCCTCATACTAATCTCCACCCCCGTAGTTACAATCTGACTATTCATCCCAGTTTTTTGCAATATTTAGATGACGTAAACAACAGCCCTAACTAAATTTTATTAATGTCTGACAAAGCTAATGTACACACACACAAAGAATAAGGAAATATAATTGTGATTGTACAGCTAGGTGAATGAAACCGCTGGAAAGAGACTCTTTGCTTTGTTTTGTTTTTCAATAATATCTGGACGCGGACTATCTGTCTGTCTGGATTCAACATAGAACTTGTCACCGAAGTGCACCAGTTCGAATTGCCACGTTCCAAATACCATACAAAGGTAGACAAGAAGATGAGTGGAGAGAATTAATAGAGCTTCACAAGTATAAGAGTGAAACAGAATGGGTAATGGTAGAAAGAAATATGAAAGATTACAGAGACTGAATACATCTGCGCCATTGACAACGATTTTGAGCCATATCACCTATTGTCTCCGGCCATTGATTCCGAGAGTCCCGAGGACCCCAACCCGGAAGTTTGCATCTCCCTACCTGACTGACTCAGTTTAACTGTCAAGGATTTCATCGATTGATGCCATGTTTTTGTCTGGCCATCACTTACTTTTTCCAACCTGCACCTATATCAGCTAGTAATGCCCGTTGTCGGGGGAGGCGATGGTTAGGCATGCGCAGCACGTGACCTAGCCATCTCAATCTATGTAACTTTATAGCCTCTTCGATTGATTTTCCCTCTTTGCCCAACACTCTACGCCTAACGTCAACATTACTTACCTTATTATATCACCTAACATGAGAACGAGATCGCAGACATCTATGATCGAAAGCAGTCAACCTTTTCATGTCACGGACTATGCATGCATTAAAAATGTTATAAAACTGGGGTAAGCAGTTTATTTTGGTAGCAGAAACAAATGTATTCATCAGTGAATGCAATACCTACCAAATAGCTACTCAAATGGAAAACTCAAACAGAAAACCGAAATCAATTATTTGTTTTGTTATTCGTTGAAAACCAAGTAATTACGACTTTTCTGTAGCCACAGGATAGGTATTGTCTATGAACGGTTTTGAGTTAAAAACCTTCCAAATGAAATTTTCACAAATTAACTTACGCCTAATTTTGCAACATGAATAATAAGAGCAACTGCAACAACAACAATAAGCATAAAACGCACTTAGGCAGAATGCTTTCCGAATAAAAAAAAGAATTGAACAATGACGTAAAAAGGGTGACAAAAACTCACAAACTTATGTTCAAGGAGACATTTGTCAAGAGCTTGCATCAATTGTAGGCACCTATTAACGCAGAAAAACAGGAAATTATTGATAAAGAGAATGAGATGGAAAGTGAAAATAGACTTTGAAATGTGCAGGCATGTACAAAAAGAAATAACTGCCATCATCAACTATTTACACAAATGGACTAATTTGCTGACAAAATCTAAGCAATGGGAACAAAAGGCTGGTCCAACATTTGTCAACTTGCACTATCTCTGAAGTAAATGTGATATTCGGTTATCGACCGAAGCACATGTGTACTGAGCAGTAGTTTGCTCCATTTTTCTGTATGCCTATGAGACATAACCGGGGAAAGTAAAAGATATGAAGAGACTGTCTCTGATTCATAGGTATTCACACTCTATTTACAGTGTTCAGTGGTATAATATAGTGATTAATATTGAGGTTTGGGCGTAGAAAGTCAATCGATGAGTTAGTAAAGTCGAATCTGACTGAGACAGCCAAAACACATGATACGTATTCCAAGCCATCGTCTTCTCCTCAACTAAAGTTAGCTAACAAACCATTGGTTTGCAAAATAGTTAAGAGTGGCCAAACCAAAAAATGGTATCAGTTCATCAGATTTTTGACTGGTGGTTTCAGTCACGTAGGGAGGCGTAAACTTTATCCCTTGTGTTCTCTAGACGCTAAAAACTGATGGATGAAGACTGTCGGTAACACGGCTAAAATCGTTCTCAATCGTGCAGGTGCAGTGAATCTAAACGAAATCCCAGACGCATTAAATCCTCCTTATTTCCTGCGTACTTATTCCTGCTTCCACACATTTCCGCTTATTACGGTTTCTTTTCCTTTATAAAGTTTGGCAACTGCTGCACTTTTGTATACGTTTCTAATTTAAAAATTTACCTTATTTCAAAGGTTGACAAAATTTGCAGAATACATCAATTCAACGAGTATTGTATTAGGCTTAACAACTTTAAAAAAACAAGATATTTAGCAAAAGTGGGAAATCACAGAGGATAGAACCCTAACATCACTGTGAGATGAGATAGTCAAAAGTCTCATCTTGCACCGCTAGAAAGCACTGAATTAGGAAGAAAAAGTCATCTGATATCCTAGGCAGTGAGAGTTTATGAAGAAATAGGCCCCATTATGAACTAGCCTAGCCTATAATTCTTTAACAACAACTATCCAATATTTGTCGTAGAATGATTCAGAGGCTATCAGGTTTGACCGATAGCTTATTACCACTCGTTCACTTGTTTGATCGATATAGGCAAAAAACGATGGGCCGCAAAAGACAAACAATGTAAAGAAAAGAGAAATAACTCAGTTGAAGAACAATTAAATTAAAACAGGTGAACATGTTTATCAAGAGCATTCAAAGAAGCGCTCAGTATGTTCATTACTGATTTTGGTTCTAAGTCACATCTGATGTTTCAATTTACTGAGCCACTTGTATCCCATCCAGTGAGCTGCAATGAATTAATGGATGTTAACTCAGCACAATTATTGTTCATCTCACGGAACCCTGTTATAGACTAACCACCTTTCCGCTTTTTTCCGTCGAAATTCACGGCTAACACATAATGAATGATGTGGAAGCCCACTGAGGTGATATGACCAACATATGTACAAGGTGCTGAAATCAGTGAAACCAACAAATGACAGATTATCTCTACCGTTTCCAAGCATACCATTAGGTTTCAGAGTTAGTTACATAATGGGATGCAAGCTATTCAACAAAGACAACAATAGTCAAACATGTATATACTCAGATAGGAAAAACCATGCTTCATAAGTGTATGGCAAACCTGTACATACGGAAACGTTGTAAACCTGACTATCGAGGGCTACATCAAGGTCATAACGGCATTAGAAGTAACCCAGGTGGGTTTATGCTACGCTGGTTTCCACACTTTTACTAGCGCACAAACACACGAACTTTAACCTACTTCGCACGGCCACACACGGAGGCTGAAGTAGGGATACAGCAATTTTGAAAAAGCACCTAGCACTTGGACAATGGAAAGCCCATACCATACTTATAGCCATTGGCCATCAATTGATTAAGTGCAACTTAGATAGCCACTAAGTTATTTCACAGTAAGAGAACATCATCCGCATACTCAGTGCCGAAAAAACATTCTCAAGTCATTGGCTCTACACCAACACCACACAAACCCGTCAGACATATCCAATGGTCTGTGGTTTCATATTTGCATCGAAATACCGTGTGATATCCATTCATTATCACATGTAAGTAACTGCCCTCACACTCCACTTGATTTAAAGTGGTAATGTGAAGTCCACAGACATAGTTAAGAGCTCAGAAACATACTTTTTGTCACATTTGGAGATAATTTAACCTCAGCGTTATTCTTGACGCACTTCTGTAATGATTATTCAGTTTAAAACCTATCATATTATACCTCTAATTCATTTTTGTCTAACTCACGGTACATATTTGTTATTACCGTTAGCCATGGAAAGTCGTACAGAAAAATAAAATGTACAGTTTTAAGAGTCCACTTTTTCTCAATCTTCCTCTCCAGAGTAAAGAAGGAACACAATTAAATGACCAGTTACATAAAAATAATTCCTATTATAGCTACACACACTATCATCTGCGCACTTTGTCCTTAAATAGCAACTATAAGACAATCACTGTCTTTTACAATTGCCAAAAATGACTTTCTGAAATAGCAGAAATCTCAAGTAGATATAACCCATTGGATAATCCGTACATGTAAGCCTGAATATCCCAGTGGATTGCCAGCTGTCAATCGTAGGTGATTCGCACACAGAAAAACACAATTAAGTCATCTTTTTAAAACAAGGCTTGAAACCTACCAAAGAATACACCGGTGATCACACGATGCCCAAACATGTTGTACAGCGGATGATGTTAGACTGAGAGAATTTAAACCGGGATAATCCTGATCAATATTACCAAGTACATCAGGAACCTGTAAAATGTTAAAAAGGAAAAGAATGGATTGAAGCTAATAACCACAAGGAATAGAACTGATTCGCACTAGGATTCAAATGACGTAAGGATTGAATTCGCCTGAAACTGGTAGCAGTTACAAAACAAAGACAGGGGAGGACAATCCTTCCTTCGTATCTCTGAACAGTGGTTAAGTAGGGACTCAGTAAGGGATCAAGACCAGTACCAAAGTCTTGAGGGGAATATATTGCTTCTTTTTTTCTTGAGGATATGAAGGATGTACAAAATATGGTGACAAATAATCTAGTAAAACTCTTAAACATGAGTGCGATTAACTGAGAGAAATTCGATTCACTAAAGCCCACGCAGTCCCAATTACTACACATGTATGGTCTGCCCAAAACACATAAACTTAACATTCCTCTACGTCCCATATTGTCAATGTGCAGATCTCTAACTCACAACTTGCACAGTAGCTAGCGGAAATATTACAGCCTATTAAAAGAAACTTCTGTAAGTTCTCATTGAAAGACACTTTTGAGTTAATGGATTGTCTTGATAACGTTGATATAAAGGACAAACCATGTTTTCCCTAGATGTTGAATTTTTTATTTACAAATGTACCTCTTTTACAGATGGTTGACATTTTATGGGATTACATCTCTGACAACGATTTCCCATTAACAGTATCCATATCTTACTTAAAAGAGTTACTGCTTCTTTGTACTAACAATGTTAAGTTTACATTCGAGGGCGAGTATTATCGCCAGATTGATGGTGTTGCTATGGGAAGCCCCCTAGGTCCATTGTTAGCTGATATAAATATGTCGCATGTGGAGAACCTAGTGGAGAAAGAAATTGGAAAGGTTTATTTTTATAAAAGATATGTAGATGACATAATAGTCATTTGTAATAAACCGACAGATGCCATAGAAATCCTGAACCAAATCAACGGAGTACAAAACAGTATATCGCTAACTTACGTTAAAGAGAATAATGGCTGCCAACCACTTTTAGATGTACTTATAACCCGCCGAGATGGGTCAGTAAAACGATCTGTCTACAGAAAGTTCATATTGCGGGACAGTATCTAAATTATCATAGTTTCTGTCCATTACAGTATAATAAGGCGTTGGTTAAATGTTTGTTCAGGCGCATTCACCGTATATGTACCTCCGATACAATTGAAGAAGAAAGACAATACCTCACTGAGATATTTTTAGATAACAATTACCCACTGAGATTTATTAGGCGTTACGGAAGTGTCAACTATAGAGCTCTACAAATCCAATCAACTCCCAAAAAGGATTTTTACATATCCTTGCCATTCAGAGGTAATTAACAAAGTCTGGTCACTAGACAAAGACTCAAGGCCGCAATTTTTTTTCCTTCACGTTCCCCAGTGGAATATAGGGCCTCAAGCTAGTAGCTTGAAGATTCTGTAGCGGTGTTTAATTTTACAGAATGGGATTGCTAGCCTCATACCCAACCTTACCTCTTTACCAGCATTACTTCTGGCTTAGCGAAGTAAAGGAGTGAGTCGGCCGGGGATCGAACCCCGGACCATGTGCATGGTCGGCGGGCGTCCTAACCGCTATGCCACCGACGCAATTAATAGAACTTATTATGCCGCTAAACTTATCTTTATAGAGAAAACGAGAACTATGCTGTCCTGTACACCCTCACATTATCCGAACGATAGTCTCACATCCCACTGTCTTTATCAATTTACATGTATCTGTGGAGACACGTACATAGGGAGGACCCGTTGGTCTCTGCAGGTTAGGGCTACAGAACACATTCCAAAGTAGCTGCAACAACAAATTACATCGCCAGACACAACTGACCCCGAAAATAGATATCCAACATCATCTATTGCGAAGCACATTATAGAGACAGGTCATAAGGTTGATTTCAACAATGCCTATAAACCGATATATAAAACAAGGTTGGACCACATACTTAAATTCATTGAACCCTTAGCCATGAAAAGACTTAAACCTGTCTTATGTGTCCAAAAGTTATTTGTTATCACCTTAAACCTGCCTTGATTATCCAATTTAGAACCAAGGACCAATTTACTTCATAATATTTTCGACCCTTTCTTTGCCTTGTTTTCTTTTCTCTTTTTCTCTTTCTTACCCACACCTTTTGCGTCTCCCTACCCATTATGTGTAACCTTGACCTGTACACAATCTGACCTGTATTGTAGTTATTCATGCCCTTTTGCCTTCTATAAAAACCGTGTATGACAAGTACGTGTGTGATCACAATGTCCAAAATGTGTTGCGCCAATAAATTACACGTTTCAGATAAACTACGTCTTCTTATTGTGTTGTGGAAAATCATCTACAGTTCATTCCAAAGTGCGACACTTCACAAATGTAGCAAGATACGAAATTAGTAATAATCAAAGCAGTCAAAATTAGACAATCACTCTCGTAAAAATCAATTCTTCAACAATGAAAAGTTGCAAAGAAGTAACAGATGATAGGCTGCATAGAGAAAGTAGCCTAATATGATAATTGACATGCGGACGACCAAAAGGATACAATAGCTTTTCCCATGTAAAAATCAACACCTTGTTAAAGAATGATAACAATGTGCATGATGTGCACGTATATTAATAAGGAGATAAAGCAAGTCTATTTTTTGCGAAAATAGCGAAGAAACACGAAAACAGATTTATTGAAGAATTCTAACTTATGAAGACCATACATCAGACAACATACACCAGTAATTTCTAAACCTCAAATGTAGTTAGTCAGCAAGATGATATGAAATTGTTGTGCAAGCAATATGGTAGGCGTCAGTGGCTTAGTGGTAGAATGCTCGCCAGCTGAGCATGTGGTCCCGGGTTCGATCCCCTGCCGACTCACACTCCTTTACCTCACTAAGCCAGTAATAAGACTGGTAGAGAGGTAAGGTTGAGCATGAAGCTAGCAACCTCATCCCGTAAAAATAAACACCACTGCTACAGCAACTTCAGAGCTCTAGGCTGAAGCCCTATGTTCCACTAGGAACGTAAAGGAATAAAATAATAAATAGTAATAATAATCTAATAAAGCAATATGATATGAGACTTTATACCTAGACATGTAAAAGCCCCATCATGACTAACAGTCCGTGTTTTTTGTTTTCATCATCCGTCACTTAGCATATTCTATTATCCTCACTTTTTTTCAAGTTTGCACTTTAGTTTTATTGTCAAATGCTTTACATTATTTAATTTAATTTAGGCTTTCCCGTCGGTTGACTGGACCAGTATCCGGTTTCTGTTGACATATCGGCTCCTTGTGCGGATGCTTCAACACTGTCTGAAAATTTAACTTTGATTAATCTCGTGGATGGTGACTAGCAGTAGGATCCAGGATGTGCATTCCGTCCTACTTGGGACTCGTAATCGAGATGTGCCTACATTCTCTGGTGAGTGATGGTGTTCCCACTGAGGCCCGAACGCAGTACGCATCTTTTCAAGGACTTGTGGTCCAAATGGTCTAGTGGATAATGCTTCAGGGTTTGAAAGGATGGGAACTGGGTTAGAGCCTCAGAAGGGACATCACCACTCAATAAGGAATTAGATGCATCCGGATGACGAGATCCAAGTATGACGAAATGCACATCCTGGATCTCACTGCTTGTCACCATCTACCGAATTGCTTGACAATATGTCTGCTCAATTCTTTCATCAGATCTACTGGGAACAAAGATAAAATCAATATTTTAGAACCCGTAAAAGAAATTACAACGAAAACTTTAGTGAAATAACAATTATTATTACGGTTATAAACAAACCAGAAATTGTGAACAGACTTACAAGTCTATCTCGAGAACCTCCTGTGATTGATATTATTACCAAAGGATAATCAGGAATTTGTGAAATTTGATGAAAGTAGTTATGCATACGGTGATATATTTGTGCCATGAAACGGTCCGGTAAAATAACTAACGATTGAAAATAAAATAGCAAGAAGAATGCAAGTGAGACCAATTATTTGGGGTCGGATAGAGTCTAAATGTATTAAATAATAGTCGCAATATATTCTCTTCTGGCACACATTATAAACTTCTCAACATTCAACTGCAAATTAGCCAGTGAATGATAACTTACATATTGTGAAATGTAGAGTCTTATACGTAATCTTTCATATTCCTTTCTACCATTACCCATTCTGTTTCACTCTTATATTTGTCAAACTCTATTGATTCACTTCACTCATCTTCTTGTCTACATCTGTGTGCTATTTGGAACGTGGCAACTCGAACTGCTGCACTTCGGTGCCAAGTTCTATGTTGAATCCAGACAGACAGAGTCTTATACCAATGTACAGTCTTAGTCTAAATCTAATACGTGGTTGGTGGATACTTCTGACCAGTCTTGAGTAAGGATGAACCAGTAATCAGCCAACTCCTTCAATGAGATCTTTGATAAAATATTACTTTGAAACTATTAGCATTCATTTTCCAATAACGTCTCAAATGAAAATATTTCCCAAAAGTTTTGAACTCACTGAAGGACGCAAAACTCAAGCAAGATATCGACACATTAACAGATATGACAAATTAAAACTTCATGTTTTGACACCGTCGCGTCTCGCTGAGAAAAGGTACACTAATAAGTATCCTGGAAACACAACCTACATTTACTGCGTGGTAGCACACAAAGCAAGAGAAGAGATTAAAGGGAGATTCAAAAGAGAGACAATAAACAAAAATATGAGGCGAAAAGAAAAGTAATATAGAAGAACAATAGAGTTTTGCGGGATATAACAAATCACAAAGAGTGAATGCATCTGCACCATCGAGAACGACTATTTAGAGCCATATCATCAATTGTCTCCACACTGGTTCTTAACATCCCGACGACCTTAACTAAGAAGTCTACACCTCCCTACGTGGCTTAAACTAGCTGCTAAGGATTTCGTTGACTGTTGAAGCCACTGGTCTGACCACCATTAGCTCTTTTCCAACCTGATCGATCCTACGTCGGATAACATTGCGCGTCGACGAAGGCGATGAGTAGGCATGTGTAACACATATCCTAACCATCTAAATCAATGTCACTTCACAACCTCGTCGAATGGCTTCCCCTCCTTACCTACCACCCGACGCCTAACCTCAATATTGCTCACCTTCTTATACCACCAAACACATGAGACAGAACGCAGGTACCTACAATAAGGAACAGCTAGCTGGTCAGGCTTTTCATGTCTTCCACTTTCAATAGGCATGTCTCACAGACATAAAGGAAAACATAGCAAACTTCAGAGCAGTACGCACGCCCTTTGGATGACAGCCGGACGTCACCTCCACGCTAAAGATGCAGTAAGTTGGCATAGGACGAACACGTTTTACCACTTCACTCCCTATCTTTAAACTAGGAGTAGTCAATGTATTCCAGTCCTGTAGCATCACCTTACACTTGACGGGGAAAAACGATGCTAAACATTCGAAGACTGTTGGGAAAACTCTACATTTTTTCAGCGTCTTTCCAGACGCTGACTAATACAGTAGTTAACGCAGATAATAAACTGCCTCCACCGTCCTTAAACACCTCTGGAGTCATTTCATCATGTCCCGCTGCTTTGCCTTGTGTCAGACTAGTGACAGCTTTCGTAACCTCAGTTAAGGGTAGAAGACCTGGGTTTATATCCCATTCGGAGAGGTGTTGGATGCCCAGTAAGTTAAGCGTGGCTGTAGGCCAATTTAATCGCTCCTCAAAGCGTCCTTTCCAACGTCCCAGTTGTCTATTTTGATGACTGATCATGGTGGCATTTATCCCGAAGATTGTTTGACTTATCAATTACCTTTTGCCACCTGTTTCTCTGATAAGTCTAAATATTTTTCTGGTGTTACCTATCGCCCATGTGTTTACCATCTCTTTCTCTTTTGTCGCCTACCACTGTTCACGGTCGTTACGAAGACTTTTTGTTAGTTTGCGTTTGAGCAGCTTTGGTTCACTATCATATTCGGAGCTCGCCGGGATCACTCTTCTTGCCTTAATCACTTCGCATGAGGTAGTAGAAATCCACTGGCTCTAGCTAACTTTTCGTTTTACATTAACAGCCTCTACAGCTGTGTTTACAGCTAACTTCATACTGTGCCAGGCTTCTTTAGGATGGGTCTTACTGTCAGTTTCAGATAAGCGTTTCGCTATTTCTTCCTTAAATAGGGACTCAGTGTCTTGATCTAGTTGGGGACGTAACTACTTCGATGGCAACAATTTTTTATGTCCGTTTAGACGTAAGCATAAACGTGTGTGAACCTGGGCGTGATCGGAGTCTACGCACGTGTTCCAGAAGGAGTGATAGTCTTCTACTAACCCTCACCAACGAAGCCTATTGCGCTGTGGTCTATTTTAGTCCAACGGTGATTTGCTGAAGGGGTTCGCCAGGTTAAACAGTGTCTCTGTTTATGCTTAAAGTTAGTGGTGACCAGGAAGAGATGAGTAACTGAACAGAACTGTAGAATACGACCACCGCTGTCGGTTCGTCACCAGGGAACTCCGTACGCACCATCTACATACTTCTCAGCCCGACATAACTTCCCTACCTAGACAACGAAGTCGCCTGCCAAAACAACTATATCTGAACGTTTTGTTTTTTGCAGTAAACTTAACAGTTTCTGGTAGGAATCCTCCTTTAAATCATCTGAACCGCAATCGATCGGGAAGTAGGCGGAGACTATGAAGAAACAACGTCGGGTAACGCAGTCCTTCCTTCTTCTAACGGACTCGTTCAGACGGACTGCACACAGACAACAATCTACTGGGATCTAGTCAAGAAGTGATTCTTCTGCATCAGCACTTAATGTTATCTCTACACCTGCGAGTCTTCCTGAACTAACTGAGTAAAGTAAATTTTTCAGATTCACCTTGTTGACCAGGTAGGATTAAATGAATAATTATACTCGGGCCTTGTATGTGTTCCTCTGAAACACAAAATACATACACGGCCCGAGATGCCAGAGGTGTGGCTAGTGATGCCTGTTGTCCGATTCGGCAATCAAAAGGCTTAGAATGTTGCAAGTAAAACCGTGCAGTAAGTGTTGACTCTATTATAACTGGTTCTGACTCATCATGCAGAACCTTAAAACAAAGGTTTTGGCTGTCACAAAAGTCTCTAACCATTATTTTCCACATAGCTATGCTTTGCTTTCTGTCAACGTGACTCCATTTTAACTAACATAGCACATTGAAAAAGACGGTGACTAAAAATGTGCAGCATATATTCTAGTTACCGGAGTTACTGCAGATTCATATATATCGCAATACCATATGCAGAAACTACTAAAATTGTTTGTTGAAAAGGTAACAAGAAACCATCCAACAAGCCAGTCTGAAGAGAGAAAATCTCCTTAACCAGAATTATCTGATGAGAAAATGAGATATCCGAGCTGGACTAGCAGGTGCGTGTAACACCTGTCGATTGGAAAGTACGACGAAGTTTCACAGCAGTCATACAAACTTAGAGCATCACAAACCAAGTGCATTCATTGCAGAGTTGCACCTCTTACATATCTGTATTCATGACAATAGTAATAATAATAATAATGTGCATCAGACGCATATATATATATGTTATTTTCATACCTGGTTGACGAATAGGACCAGCTAATGATATAACCAGTTTAACTTTAGTTTGATTCAAATTCCAACGCGATGATAACAGATTAAAGATTACTACAGCTCCCTGTATTAAAAAAGGATGGAAATTGAAATATTATGCAAATACATGTTTACGGTATTTCTGAAAAATGAAAATAAATCCAAATTCTATGATCCTATACTAGCTAGCCAACCTCTGGAGTAATGGACAGCTTTTCCCCCCTAGTTTATGATACTAGCACGATATGCACGTGACACTGAAGAAATGAGCATTTTCACAAGCTTGAAACTTAACTGCTCTGGACTCAACCTTTGGCAACCTCATAAGTGCGCTCTGCTGAAGACTCACAAATTGCGGCATAATAAACAACTGACTTTTTTTCAAGTATTGGCTTGTAGGGAATTGATTGATTGTTTACAGGATTTCATCGGTTGGAGAAACATTAATTAATTGATAAAGCTTTATGATAGTGATCATCTTGAAACAAATCATATCCTTACAAGCCTAACACATGAGGTAGAAGTTGATAATTTCAAAAACTTCACACTCACTGGACCAATGATCACGGATTCTTCAGTTGATTTATACTGGTATCAACAATATTTTTAATGGATTGTACAATGGTAAAGATACACTCTCTGTGTCACTCAGATGAATGAATGCATATTTACGTTAAAGACTCAACATGCTCTACTCCTATGCATCATTTAGAAAAAGACTACAAATCAACACTCCCTCTTCCGAATAAAAAATAATAACTTATATAAGCAAGGAAAATATGAATTTGAAGAAAGAACTAATGAAAAGCATATAAAAGGAATGTTTTATGTCATAAAACCAACTGTAACAACTTAGATTTATTTACTATGAATAACTATTTTTATGAGTCAAAAATAAGGATGACTATTCTTAATAAACAAGGGTAGGGCATATGACTTGTCGATTTAGAAGTGTATCAATAATCTGCTGGTGAGTGACTCTAGAAAAATTTCTTCCTACGGCATAAATCAAACCACCTAGACACTGGTTTAATTAATAAGATTACAACAAGTAAAGAAAGCAACTTAATTTACAAAACAGAATTAATCAAATTGAACTTACAACAGAATGGCCAATTAATATCACTTGTTTAGGGGAAGTCGCCTTTTTGAAATACATCAGTGTGATGGTATCAATCACTTGATTAACAAAATCTGAAGCAAATTATTTAAAAAGTTTCATGATTTGACAATTACCAGTTTGTCGCTCAACAATTTCTCCATTCAGAGCAGACTGTTCCTGATCACAAAATAGAGAAACGATAAGAATTATGAGGAAGGCAGAATAGAAACTGTGCATATCTGCATCAGTAAAAATTTAGTTTGATAATTATAATCAAGCTTGCGTACATTCATTGTCAGTTATACTGACTGCCTACAGCCCAATAAACTGAGTGGGTGAATGTACACCAAGGACCAGTTTTTTGATAGTCACGCGTCTAGAGCTACAACTCCACACTTTCTAAAGATGGTAAAAGAACGACGGAAATAACTTAAATATTTATTCGTTAAAAATAAATCCTAGTATACACTGACCTACCGATTACATACGGATATATATAAAACAATATCATGCAGTTTTAGTCACAAACTAGTGTCAATTGGATAACCAATAAAAAGACAATAATAGTCTCACATCTGAAGTTTTCGTGGATCTCTTGCATTTTTATAGCTGTTATGCAGCTACACAGTAGGACAGGACACATTCACTATACCGTTGTGGACGAGACATCTCACTTGCATAATAAGTGACACAATTTACAGAGAGTGAAGCGAGCATTCTGCATACATGGTAAAATTTCATCAACAGTCAATCCGTCTAAGGTGATGCGATTAGCAACATTAGTAAAATGATCAATATGTTGAATCAGTCTAATACCAATATTTAGACGTGTACTAATACCAAGGGGAAATGGAAAGATTTCTCTCTGACATAAATATCAGAGGTAAAAACCTACGACCACTAGTTCTACTCTTGGACATATTGATGATTAGCTTTTCAGATTAGTAACCATCTAGTGCTCGTGAGTGAGTAGCTTTAAGGTGAATTTCTTGATGTTCTAATACGAAACCTTAACCATTGGTTAAACCAAGTTACTTTTAAAAACATTAAATCGAATGATAGTCACACAAAATCGTGGATTAATGAAAGTTAGAAACCACAGCTCATTAGTTCATATCTCGTTGTTGGAATGGTAACGTGCTTGAAGCAAGACTTTACAGAACTCAACTTAATCTAGTGCAGAATTATAGGTGAGTACCAATAAAAAATTACAAGCTGAAACACTCTAGTGTTCCTTGGCATTCGGTACATCACCAGATAATCTCAATTCGTAACGGAAGCAACTCTGAGATAAAATAGTATTTTACAAAACTTCCAAAGAAACAACTGTCTTAAACAAAAACGACTGATAAAAGTGGAACTCAAAAAACTACAGTAAATGATTTTACGCCAAGTAGAAATAGAACGATGCTTCAAAACTTGCACACAGTTTAACAATTAATACCAAGGTATTAACTTAGGCAGTTGTGGAAGCTCTATGATTTTAAAACAAAACCTTACTATGAGGAAATATAAGACTTGAACTGATAAACTAAGATGGCAGTGCAAGATTTTTATCAAGGACTGGTTTTTACAGTTCCAAATCTTGAAATCATCAAATTTCAACACAAATACGCAGACATGTTAATTTCTCATCTTACCTCATTCAAATCAACACTATAGTAGTCCAAGGGGGAATTATCCGGTACAAAATTATATATAGTTGTCGCCAGTGAACGGATAGTTTTAAAACTTCCTTGTGAACCTGTAACAAACAAAACTGGTACATTGCTTTGCCCAGGTCTGAAGATAAAATCGTGTTGAACTTGATAGAAATTACCTAAATCTAGAACTGAAATAATGAGTGAATAAAGCTGAACAAAAATCTAGCACATACCCTTCTTGGTACCGATACAACCGATAGTTTGAATAACATTTTCTTTGACAATCAACATAAATTTCCTTGAAATAAATGAAGGTTACGTCAGATGTGTAATGACTTACCTGAAATTCTGGTATTTCTAGCATTTGAGTAAGTACGCATCTGTTTGATTCTGAATCGAGGTACCACTGAAACGTAGTCCAGAGTAGCGAAAATGACACAAATGAGGTTATTAACCAGCATGATACAGCACTCCCAACCATATTATATGCCATGTGTATTTGGCTGCTACACTGTGTAATCCAGGAAAGTGAGCTAAGCAGTCTGTTGAAAATACAAAATGTTTTTAGTCACTATCCGATTAAGTGGTAGTGTGTAATTAAACAACCATAAAATGAACTTGAAAAAGTGCTCATAAACTCAAAACCACAATATCCCAGAAAACTTATGTAATTACGTCTATCAAATTTCGGTCTGCAATATACAAAGGCGGTAACCATTTCACCGAAGTCAAAAAAATGTGGTTCAGGGTAACTATAAGAAGTAATATCCTTCGAAATCAGTATTTATTAATTCCTTTTACCATCGTTGATGAAGCAATAATTCATTCGCGAAAGGAAGCAGTAAGAGCTTCAAATTACGTTTGTGAAGGTTGTTTGCTTTTCAACTTCTCAATGCAACGAAAAACCAGCGAAGAGTCCAACGACAATTTTATTTTACACTACTACGAAACGGTCAGCTTAAGAGGCACTGTATATCATGAATAATTCTAATCTAGTACGATGAAACATATGATTTAAGGAGAAAAATACGTAGCCACACAAAACAAATTACATACTAAGCAATCCTAACCTTTAAGATCATCAAGACCTATACGTTTTTAAAAATCGCGAATTCCATATGACAGTGGCAAAAACATTAACTACAAATTTGTATCATAATTAGACAACAAAATTACCAGACTACCTGAGAAGACTTGAAAACACTTCATTGCAGAGAAAAAGTTAGGTTAACTGGTATTGACAATCCTCTAAGATTTCGAAACTAAACATGAATTCCAGCAATTTGGAAGTTACTGTGAGAGCATTGACATTTGGAAATCAGCCAATATCGACCCAATAGCATTAAACTAAAATGAAGTGCCTTGCACAATGTTCGAAGTTCACTCTCATGAACTCGAAGCTGCACTCACCGGCACTAACTAACTGTGAGTTCTGAATCACTGACAAAGAATCCCTACGAAGAGGAGTCAAACAACTAGTTACCAGACTTCATTCATAAAGACCTTGTGAGCAACAGACCAATAAAATGCACAATAGCATGGCCTTCACACACAGTTCAACAACCAGAATCTACATTTCAGCTAGGTTGCATCATCTCGATTATATATATATATATATATATATATATATATCCATTTCTCGTGGTGAGGTGGTGTACCACAAGCTAGTAATAATTATTTTATTTATTATTTTTTTGATAGCAGCTTGACCCCCACACCGCACTTTTGGTAGAAGTATGGAGTTTTCAGCGTGGATGTCGGTAGCCCAAATTTCGCAGGCCGACCATAGATATCAAGTGTGCGTCGGCGAGGGCTCGAACCCCGGACAATGTGCATGTGCACCATGTGCGGAAATAATATGGGTTATATATGAACTATCAATGGTAAGTGCCGAAAAACACGATTTGTCGCATGAAATGGCACTAAGTACTGTTTTACAGTATTTCCCGTATTAGTTCAGCACATAGATTTTTCAGAACATGGAGTATGAGCGTTTAGCATTAGATCACCTGATCCAATCATAGTTCAAAATTGGCTCAGAATTAGTGTTCACAGTGATTAGTGTGGCCTTAAGACGTATTTATTTATTATTTTCTTAAAAACACAAGCCGTATGCTTTTGTACTCATCGAGGTACATGTAAAACTTTGGTCAGTGTCCGGAGAACACGTCTGTAGTTGTCGCGTAGTCATTGCTGATTGGGGATTTATAAAACTTTCCTAGTTATTGACTCCAAGCACTCATACGAACTCACAATAACATATCAAGAAAATCCCCATAGTTAGCTTCATTGATCAATAATACAAATTTACTTAAGACATCAATTTATGTTAGTTTTGAACAAGAATTACTTGATTAGGAAGATTCCAGGATACAAGTAGAATGATTATTCTGCAACATAGTGACAAAGCAATATATAGAAAAGTGACTGGCTATAAAAGATATTAATAATGAAGGCAACCAACGAACCTCATACTTCAAACTTCACTATTACAGTCTCAATTCGAACGAACCTCAGATTTCATTTTTCGATATCGCGCAAAGTGAGAGAGAAAAACAAATTCGAAACCGCTTTGTTGCTATGATATTCAGCAATACCATATGTGAAAGCATTTGAGGGACTTTTAGTTTCCTACGTTGATGTAAAAAAATGAAATGCTCCGAAATTTCAACTGCAATCATGAACAGTGGCAGTAATTAGAAGCATTCATGAAACGCATTCATTTGCGCGAAATTTTGACGAGTGTGTACTGACTAGCCAGGTCTCATCTATCTTCAACACTAGCAGAATTTGATAACCTTATGCGATCGAATTAAACAAGCTTTCCTAAAAATGGAGACTATCGGTGAATAATTCCCTAAATTATTAACCTACTGTGTTCCCCACCTTCATTACTTAATTCGACTCGTCAAGCAAAAGTTTGCCAGCCAGGCATACACGTATGTAGTGCACATTGTACCTTTGAACTTTTGTTTAAACTGACTCACCCACGGTGATCCACGTTTTACCTTTTGACTTGTGAGTCTTCCGTACGTTCATAGGTTCGCTCTCTTGTTGTGCTCTCTTTCTGCACACTCTCCGAGCCTACCTCCAGCAACGTCTGCAGATAAGTTGTACGACTTCTTTATTTATTGAATTTTATATTTCGTTGAATAAAATATAATTCTCCCAGGTACTCTTGTCACATCAAGTCTTTTTACAACGATACAGTTCGTCAGTATTTGCGCGTCGAGTAGTGTACTGCTAAGCTTAGCAGGTCGCAAAACGGTGAAGAAGTTTGTAAGGGTGTTTAGAGTATAGGTCCACTCTAAGCCGTAGTAGAACTCTTACAAGTGGTGAGCCCGTTTTCACCGTTTTCCGCTATAGTAGCTTAACGTGTTAACGATTCTTTTTACGTACCGTTTATTTTGTTATTTTTTTTCCTTTCACGCACGGTTATAAAGATTCGATTTGTTTTCTTTGTACTTATATTGGTTTTTTTATCACCTTGTTAATATTGTGCCCTGTGTGCAAGATGGCTGACAACAGTTCTGCGTCAGAGATGGCTATAACGCTGCAACTCCCCGCCTTCTGGACACATCGTCCAGCTGCATGGTTTAATCATATAGAGGCTCAGTTTGCCATTAGACACATACACTCACAAGAGACCAAAGTAAACCACGTGATTGTGAGCCTACCCGAAAGTGTCATAGACGAGGTGGCTGACGTTCTCGCAGATCCGTCTCCGGATCGGTACGAGCGGCTCAAACAGGCGTTAATTCAACGAGTCGCACTTACTGACCAACAGAAAGTGCAGGAACTTTTCCGCGATGTTCAGTTAGGTGACCGCAAGCCCTCACAAATGTTGAGGCAGATGAAGCAGCTAGTGGCGGACTTTAAAATTGACGAGGTTTTTCTCAAACAACTTTGGCTTCAAAGATTACCTCAGGCAGTCCAGGGTATCTTAGCACCGATCTACAAGTACCCCTTACAGGAGATAGCCGAGGCAGCTGATAGAGCCGTAGAGGCCATCAATCCCAAAATTGGCATTTCCGCAACAGTAACTGCTGCTCCCGCTCAGACTAAAGATTCGTCTGATGGGGGGTCATCAAGCTTTGACGCGGTGGCCCATATAGCCAAGCTATACGAGGAGATCTGTAGTATACGACAGGAGATGAACTCCAGGAGTCGTGGACGCAGTCCCTCGAGTTCGCGTAGTAGTAGACCCTTGCCACGTGCTAGCAGCAAGCGCCGACAGTCCCGAAGTAACCAGCCTGGAGTGTGCTGGTATCATCGACGTTACGGAGCAAAAGCCCAAAAGTGCACTCGCCCGTGCACCTTCGATGTTCAACAGTCGGGAAACTAGCAAGCCAGCACGTACTGGCGACTAACGTCGCTGGCGAACCACTCTCATGTCGCCTCTTCTATGTTACCGACCGTAACACTGGGATACGCTTCCTAATTGATACCGGAGCAGAGGTCAGTGTAATCCCACCCACAGTAGAGGAGCGCAGGCGGCCAATGTCTCTTCAACTACGAGCCGCAAACGGTTCGCCAATTGCTACGTTCGGCAGGCGCTTTATAGATCTTAACATCGGTTTGCGTCGTTCACTTCGTTGGGTCTTCCTGGTGGCAGACGTTACCACAGGTATAATTGGCATGGATCTATTGCAGCACTACCAATTACTGGTAGATACAGGTAATCATAAGTTAAAAGATCCTGTCACAAACCTCTCCGTCAGCGGTATCGTCACACAAGGCCCAGCCCTCAGCCCGGTATATGCCACACCCACTAGCACTGGTCCTTATTCGCATATACTGCAGTCTTTTTCAGATTTGTTCAAACCTAGCAGCGGCCTGCCATGTGCGACTTCCAACGTCAAACACCATATTGTCACTACTGGCCCGCCAGTTTTCGCAAAGCCGAGGCGACTATCCCCAGAAAAACTAAAGGTTGTCAAAGCGGAGTTTGAGCATATGCTGGAAATGGGGATTATTAGGCCATCCAGCAGCCCGTGGTCCTCACCGTTGCACCTGGTACCTAAGAATAACGGTTTAGATTGGCGTCCTTGTGGCGACTACCGCAGACTAAACGCACAAACTGTTCCCGATCGCTACCCTGTCCCGCACATACACGATTTAACCGCCTCACTCAAGGGAGCTCGAGTATTCAGCAAACTGGACCTTACACGGGCTTACTACCAGATTCCCGTCGACCCCGAAGATATACCTAAGACTGCTGTGATTACACCGTTTGGCCTGTTCGAGTTTCTTCGAATGCCTTTTGGCTTACGGAACGCTGCACAAACCTTCCAGCGTTTTATACATGACGTTTTGCGCGGGCTTGATTTCGCCTTCGCCTATCTGGACGATATCTTGGTAGCTAGTCCAGATGAAGCCACTCATCAACTTCATTTGCAGACAGTTTTCCAAAGACTTGTGACACACTCCCTCACACTCAACTTGCCGAAGTGTCAGATTGGAGTCACTTCCCTGAAATTTTTGGGACATAGGATAGACAAAGATGGAATTTATCCGTTACCTGACCGGGTAGAAGCTATTCAAAACTTCCCTCTACCCACTTCTCCCAAGGCACTACGCACTTTTCTCGGGATGGTTAGTTACTACCGTCGCTTTATCCCACAGTGTGCTCATATCGTGACCCCCTTGACTGACATGCTTAAAGGGAAATGCAAGTCTTTGGTGTTCACTAAGGAAGCCTCGACAGCTTTTGCAGCTATCAAGAAAGCTATTGCTGACGCCACAATGTTGGTCCATCTAGATGTTCAACTTCCAATCAGCATCTCCGTAGATGCCTCTAATACTGCGATCGGAGCCGTCCTTCAACAGCGTATGGCTAATGTATGGCTACCGATTGCTTTCTTTTCACGTAAACTTACCGCATGCGAATCTCGATACAGCACATTCGGTAGGGAACTTCTCGCTGTCTACGCTGCTGTCAAGCATTTTCGTCACTTCGTGGAAGGCCGGCAATTTACGGTATTTACCGACCATAAGCCATTGACGTACGCCCTCCACACTACTTCAGACCGGTATTCACCGCGAGAATCACGCCATTTAGACTATATTTCCCAGTTCACTTCTGATATCCAGCACGTTTCTGGATCGGATAACGCGGTAGCAGACGCTTTGTCTCGCGTATGTGCTACGTCCGTACCACCAACCATCGATCTTCATAAAATGGCCGAACTCCAACTGAACGATTTGAACTTAGAACACCTGTCAAATAAAACCTCACTGAAAATAGAACGCGTCCCCTTGCTAAACAGTGAGGCAACTATACTTTGCGATATGTCAACTGGTACTCCTCGACCGATTGTTCCCACGTCTTTACGCCGAACTGTGTTTGAGTCACTCCACAACCTCTCCCATCCTGGCATACGAGCAACGGACAAGTTGATTTCTGCGAGATTTGCGTGGCCCGGTATGAACCGTGATGTGCGTCAATGGACACGTGCTTGTGTGCAATGCCAACGTGCTAAAGTCACCAAGCATAACATCACGCCGTTGGGGACGTTTGCGACCCCAGACGCTCGGTTCCATCATATCCACCTGGATATAGTAGGGCCTCTGCCCCCGTCTAACGGCTGCTCGTATTTACTCACATGTGTGGATCGTTTCACACGTTGGCCGGAAGCCATTCCGATACCTGATGTAACGGCTCAAACCGTCTGTCGTGCCTTCATGGAAGGCTGGGTTGCCCATTTTGGATGTCCCGCAACTGTCACTACCGACCGCGGACAACAATTTGAATCCACAAGCTTCAAAGAATTGTTAGAGATGCTGGGATGCAAACGCATTCGCACAACCGCGTATCATCCCGCGGCAAATGGCCTAGTAGAACGTTTCCACCGTCAACTCAAAGCTGCGTTGATGGCAGTGGACAACAGTAAGTGGACAGATTCGCTACCACTGGTCCTGCTTAGCATCCGGGCTACGCTTAAGGGGGATCTGCAGTGCTCGCCAGCTGAATTGGTGTACGGTACCACCATGCGTTTACCAGGCGAGCTAATCGCTCCCGAAACTTTCGAGCCAAATTTCCCGGATACCACCCGTTACGCTCAGCAACTTAAAAGTTTTATGCAGCGACTCCGACCAGTTTCCACACGCACTCAGAACCGAAAGGTTCAGGTTGATCGGCGACTTGATGACTGTACACACGTTTTCGTGCGTCACGACGCCATACGAAAGCCATTACAACCACCGTATGACGGGCCTTTTAAGGTCCTTAGTCGTAAAGATAAATTTTTCGTTATTGACCGATGCGGCCGCCCAGACACTGTCAGCATAGACAGACTTAAAGCGGCATACACTGAAGAACCTTCACCCTCCCCATCGGCTCAATCAAATAGCCCCACTGAACCTAGTCCTTGTCCAGACTCAACTACCTCACCTCCGGTGGTGAATGATGATTCTCCTACCGTCACCAGTAAGACCCCTGTCACACGTGCTGGTCGACGTGTTCACTGGCCCAAGAGGTTCGTAGAATTCTTTCACTGAACTAATCCATAGGTAAGGCTACTAGTGATTTTTTATTCCTTGTCACA